CTCCCCCCCCCTTCCCCCACCCTCCCAAGTGAAACAAACTCCCCAAATCCAAAATATCAATCTCAGAGACCTAGTGACAATTTTTCGAGGTGCGAGGTAGATGATTTCATCACAGTATCATAATTTAATACTCACTACTCTTCCATGTTCACTACTCTCTACTATTCAATATTCACAATTCTTACCATGGATACAGAGACAGAGATAGAGTCCCGGAAACCAAACACAAACACAAACACTAGCCACCTCACCCAAAGAAGAACCACCAATCTCAGTATAGAGTAAGACCCGATCGACCCCCGCTCTAGAGTACTAGGTATAAGAAAACCACAACCCAAATATACCACCATCTCTTACTACTCTTACAACTCCTTCTACTCCACAATACACCCAAGATCTACTCTACAGTACACCCAAGATCTAGAGTATCCTACCTATACCTACTTACCTACACCCTTACGAACAGAACCCTAATATCCCTTGCGAATATATACATAAGACCAACCAACCACCCAACACACAGCATAAGATAAGCAGTCACCAAACCCACCCCCAAACCCAGAAGACCCGTACACTAAAGCCATCGATTGATTGAGGGATACATCACATACATGCAAGTAGTAAGAAAATCTGGTCGGTCATTACTCTATACATACACGCTATCGATCCAAAGTCGTTATGTTATGCCAAAGGTCTGGTCTGGCACAACTTAATTAGTTAGTGGTCCTATTTTACCTACCTAGGTTGATAAGGAGTAAAAACGTATGTATCAATTATTCGAAACTATTGGTAGAATTAATTTGGTTGTGTAAGGAAGGTCTCTAGGATAAGAATTTCTTTAATGACTTAGGCGTGTACAGAGCAATGCCCGCCTCTCTTACAGTACTTGTACTTGACGCCCTTCAACCTACACCTCCTACACCACCACTTACACGCTCCAATCGGTCAGCACGGAGGAAGAACTCCCCACCGTAGCGCCCAAACTCTACACTCTATCAGAAGCACCAGAACAACACTCAGAGGATCACCAAAATAGCACTTCGGATGGTATCTCAAGCTTATCAAAGTCTTCAAGAAGTCTTCTAACTAGACTTTCTCATATTGATTACAAAGAGGTATGATATTAGTCGGATGATTGATTCCTTTTCCCGTTAATCCATTCATCCATCCACACTCCTTTTCAACAAGAGGTGTTGGATACCCCTCCCCTTTCTCCTTGAAACGCCGATACCACCACATATCACGACCTTCCCTAGGTGAAATATGCATATGAAAGTCGGGCAGAAACAGGAAAGTCATTCGTCTATTGTTTAGCAACCGTTCCGTCATTGGTGGTTGTCTTTTTCCAACCAAAGTCTTCTTTCTCGACCTCGAACATTGGAAGTCTATATATCTATGGTCGCTTGGTGAAAACCAATGGGCAGTCGTCCTATACCAGGTTAGTCTTGTCTGTGTATTGAATTGTATTTTGAATTGAATTACCTTGGGGAAAATAGTAGCAAAAACCTTGATCTCTTCCGACACTGGTGTTGGGTGGTGAACCCAATCAAGTTCCATTGCAGCCTTTCCAACCATAAGAGCCAAGTTGTTTTGAGCATAAATTTGACCGAGGCAGTAATGTGGTCCAGTACCGAAAACCAAAAAGTTCTTAGCCCCCTTGACCTCAGCATCACCGGTAACATATCTATCAGGATCATAAACGTCCGGGTTCTCATAGACCTCGGGATCGCGAAGAGATGGGTAGGTTGTTGGAATAACCATGGCGCCCTTGGGAACGGTGTATGTTGGAGTAATTGGGAAAGGTTTCTTGACGAGATATGGAACCATGAGGACTGGAGGACGATATCTGAGCAATTCCTTGACTGCACCACGGGTATAAACCATCTCATCGATCATTTCCATGGTAATTGCCTTGTTCTTGTCACCGCCTCGAACACGTAGATTTTCTTCACGGACTTTGTCAAGCACGTCTGGTCGTTGAGCCATGATTTGGAACAACCAGGTGCAAGCACTGCTGGTAGCATCTTGAGAGGCGAACAAAAAGGTAAAGATGGTCTGGGAGATTTCGTAATCGGTGAAAGAGCGAAGCATAGGCTGTGGCTTTTCAATTCCTTCCAAGGACAGGCCCTTCTCTTGACGTTCTCTGTAGTTGGCAGAATCGAGGATAGACTTCACCCAACCATCCATAATGCAAGAAATCTCGCCTCCGGCTGCCATACGGACCTTGCTCTTTGCAGCGCACTTGGCGAATTCTTCGAGAACCATCTCTGACGCTTTCTTTCCGTACCATGTCTTGGTGTATGGAATGATGATTGGGAAGTTGACCAGTTCGAGAGCAGCGGTAATGTTATAATAGTCGTCGGCAATCTTCTTGATGGCTTCATCGGAGATATAATGACCAACAAAAGTTCGGCAGGAAACCGCGCACATCACCTCACGGAATTCGGACATGAAAGGAACAGGGCCATTGGCTTCCTTGGAAATGCGTAAGAATCGCTCAAAGTAGGTGTTGTAAACTTCCTCCTGTCCTGGTAGATATGATTCGAGGGCTTTTCGAGTAAACAAACCATTGAGACCCTTACGGAAATCCACGTGTGCCTTTCCATCCAAAAACACCCAGTTGGTCGGTCCGAGGAGTTTATGAGCGACATCCACAACACATGGCTTAACGTACATGGGAGAGTTGAAGACCTTTCGGGACATGTCACGGGTCGAGGCAATCACAACGAATCTGAAGCAGGTTTGTTAGTGGCCTGAATGTATACCAAGAATGTATGTTATGTGGATCGCTTACTTGTGGAAGACCGACACACAGCTCAATTCTCCGCTTGCCCATTTTCCTTGGTATTCCTCAAATTTTGGGTTGACGGATTCCAGAAAGGGGCCAATGAAGGGAATCTTGAATGCTGGACCGACAATGGAGCCTTTCTGCCTAAGATAACTAACTGCGCAGTTGTCAGTCAATGTCGTGATCAGCAAAGGAAGCACCTCTTCTTACATTGATCGTATGCGACCAATAGCGCCAAAATCGTAAAAGCAATCGTCCATCCGCTGACTTGGGTGAGGGAGGTCAAGAAGTTGTCAATTTGAGGGTGTCCGACAATCTGGACCACCTTTGCACCTGCCAACGGCACCGCAGAGCTGGCATTGGTGGTGGAAATTATGCTGGCCATCTTCACGAACGATGTGCTGCTGGTGATGGTGTGCTGGATTTGCGTTCAGCTAGTCAAGGTACGGGTACAGGTACCTGAACGAACGAGTACCGATCTTGACGGGCGATCGCGTGATATGCGTCGCAATGGCACCGATGTGGTGTTGCGGATACAAGATCCGGGTCGGAGAGACCTATTAAAGAGTGATATTTGGAAAACACCACGGAGAGAAGGAATAAAGGGAAAAGGGAGGACCCGAAGGCTTTGAGGAGCGAGAAGGAGACTTTCCGTGGGTCGCAAAGTCCCTTGAAATTGGATATTGGTCTGCTTATCTAACCACAGTGGGGAGTGACAGCTGCAGATGTCCTGTGCACACCCTGCCCACCCAAAGCCCTTCCACTGATAGGGGGGGCCTACCCGGTCATTCTGCAGCGCCGCAGCCACTCAGCAGCCTGAATTCGTCTATCGCTCTGCTGTCCCTGGAAACCCCTGGGAAGACACTACCAGACCGCACCCAACACCACCTGTCACTCATTCCCGCCCACGCCAATCCCGGTGAGAGAAGCTCTTACACTTTTCACAATGAACCGAGCATCCTTGTTTACGGAATCCATACCTTTTCATCCCATCTTGCATGAACTCAACTGATCTTTTTGCCACTTTGATTGTGACTTCGTCCGAAATAAAGACCTCTCTCAACCATCGTCATTCCCAACGAACTCCCACATGGCGTCGTTAGCGCCTCAGCATACATTAATGTCCTGTACCGGTACACCTCCGAGATGCCTCCGTTCCATGTTGGTTGGTCTTAGGTGGAATGCTCTATAAAATCTCCTGACTCTCCTCGATCCATTTCATATGGTCTTCAAAAAGTCATTCGAGGTGCGGAATCTAGAACATGCACTTCTAATCGCATCAAGAAAAGGGGTATTCCGCTAAAGTAATCCTCCGTTCTCGGTGTTATCTCCGAAGCTAATTAATTACCTTCTCGCTTATCAAACTCTTCCCAAGCCTTGTAGAACAACATGCTTTTTGGAATAAAACCTCAACTTCCTCCGAACCTTCGAAGAATAAACTCGCTCACATCACCATTCTAGAACAACTGAAGAATATTTCCGGAAAGTGCAAACACTGTCTTTGAAACAGTTTCCTCTGTATCTTCCCGCCACTATTGGTTCCGAGTCACCATCTGTGAGACCCTGTTCTTCACTTCCAAGTAACCAGACGTGAATCAATATTGCAAGTTTTCAGCTGTTCCACTAGAGCTGGTTACACAAGTTTACCGAAATACATGAATCCTGGAGTCTCTAAAGGCAGTATAATAAACTCCAAGTACTAGTCGAAAGAAAAATGTGGTTTAGAATCTGCTTTCATATTTATTTCACAATAGTACTCGTACATTATCTACAAAAGAGAGGGGAGAGAACAGGAGTACATGACTGAAAACAACTTATAATGCTCGAAAATGGATAGAGATCTGTAGCTTCCTAGGAAAGCAAACCTGCTCAAGTTGGAGGATGGCCACCTCAAGTTTTGGATCTTGATCTTCCTAGATCTTTGTATTGTCCAGTCATTCAGCGTGATACTAAGACCCTTTGTAAAGTAGAGAAAAGAGCAAGAATCGAGTCTCTTAGATTTCATATAGTCTTTTAGTATTAATCCGCCTTGAGGATGATAACTTAGTCATGGACAAAGTCTTGTCTTGGCAACAATTCATAAAAGCTCCAATGAGTTGAAGTGAGGCTCACCTGCCAGGCAGCTGCCCAACCATTTCGTCCCAGATCATGTACTCACAACCTTTCCCGTCTTCCAAGTGAAGTATAGCATAGATTAAGTGAAGCTCACAAACATACACAAACACCTACCTCTCCAAGTAATCAACCAATCACCGTCCAATCGCAAACCACAAATCCATACAACTCTTGAAGTGAAGCATGAGAAGATCTATCCATCCAATCAGCTTACGAGCGCAAAGATCACGACGTGCAAAGAAACATCAATGCTTTCATGCTTCCCTTTGGGCGAGAAGGAGTGGTTTTGCGGTTGGATGGTGATCAGGTAGTACGGGGATTCAGTTGCTGTGAAGGAGTTGGCGGTAGTGAGGTGGGTGAGGGAAGTGATTATGTTGATGGTTAGGGTGAGGTTAAGTGAATATCGCGAGTAGCTACAGTAGCAAAGTATGGATATCCAACTTGGGAGCTATAGCTCCAGAAAGGTTCTCTAGGCTTCAAGGCGCGAAAATACCCACAGCGTAATTATCTTCAAGAAAGATCTTATGAAGGATAGTCCTAAAAAAGCATACGATTCCACCCACCGCACCTCAACCTAAACACCCCACAAATCCACGCACCACCCTTCAAATACATACCCCTAACAAACAACCAAACCCCCAATCATTTGTACCCTTCCACGGAATATCGTCTATCTGGCTCAGTGATAACGTTAAGGCAACCGGCCCGGCAGTACACACTACTTCACACAAGTCGCCGTCGGTACCTGACAGCCAAAATTGGAAGAGCGCAGAAGTGATATGATAGCCCAATGGGAAATAGCCCAATGGGAAATAGCCCAATGGGAAATAGACCCCTATGGAAAAGGAAAACTCGGTTCGTCTGGTTTACGCTCTCTGGCGGCGCTGAAATGGCGTTGGGATCTTTTTGGTGGAGGAGGTTGGTGATGATAGTAAGTGGGGGATAAGCGAGAGTTGGGATAGTTGAGGAGACTCCTTTCAAGGACTTTCATACCATAGTCATACTAAGAGGAGATTACTTACTATCGTAAATGGTATCTTACAATCGACAAGTGGGAAACAAATACTCTCTCGCCTAGATGCTAGATATTACTAGTACCAAGCCTCGAGATCGATTGTTGATAGCCTTCTTTGCAATTGCGAGAATTTCTTCGGAGATGCTTCTTCAATACACCTGATTCGTGTCCCAAATACGTTTATGCGATGGTTGTAATTTTGATATCTTTGATGCCTAGGGGTCTTCACATATGGTAGTCAGTTCTGATAGTCGGAATAGCACTAGAGGTATTTCGTGTATTGGACAAGCAAGCATAGGAATTCCTTGGAATCGTTTCCAAAGGAAAGGCGGAGTTGAGAGAGGGAAGTAATGGGTGGCTGCTGTAGTGAGATCTCGCAAGTGAACTATGTTGCAGGCTTTGCAAAGCAAAGTCGTCTTGCTCAGATTGTCTATCTCACGATTCTGTGTGCTTCTAGTACTGAGTAGAACCAAGGAGCTGTTGTGGTCTTTTGCTTGTGCTTCGAGTCCGTTCAGTGATGGCTTCATGGAACATTGAGTAGTGTTCTTCTTCTTAGGAGAACACTGAAATAATGAATGGATAACTCATGGTTATTAACGTTCAGTGTCAATGGTTTGATGGGATGCTGAATCCTTGTATCTTGTTTCAAGCATAAACTAATACTCAACGTACTTATCATTTACCAGGATCTATCAATATTCGTATACTTGCTACGAACTCCGTCTGAACCCTGATAGAAGGAAGGCGGAAACCTCGGACTAGTGCTCCTTTTCAACAAAGATAGCATAAGAAGGCTTATGTGTCTGTCAAAAGTGAACACTCCTTCTCAGCTTCCTCCCAGCTGAACCCATCGAACCCAGACACAAGCTTCATCCCAAATTTTCACGAGAGATGAGCCAACACAGCCCGGATCTTCATCATAGCGAATCCTCCCCATAATACAATCATAAGTTCCGCTTTCGCAAGGCCGGAATACCAACATATTCAGAACCAGTGCCTTCCGTGCGGACCGGCACTCGAGTATGAACTCTTCACGATCTGCAAAGGATCGCTCACTGCGAAAGAGAACGTGTTAGTGTCTACGCATTTGATGTATCAAAGTGCTTGTTGAAGCCAAAAGCTTCAACAAAAGGCCGATCTCGTGATACCCCACCTTTTGCGCGCCAAAGTGCGTAAACAGGTAAAACAAGGTTGAGAGCATGACTGTTGCTGTACTTGCACTGGACGTCAAAGTTGGAGTTTAAACAGCTTCGTGCGTGGTTCGGTTAAGGTAAGATTACTTTCAATCCGACAATAACAGCCAATCGTGCCTCCCACGCTAAGAGGAAATCAGCGGACTTGGGTTTGTTTCTGCCAAAAACAGATGGGAAAAGAAATCGGGGAATTGGATTCGTGAGTTCTTCACAAGGAATCTACATGATCTGCTAGTTCTGTGGTTTACCATTACTTAAGTAACCAAAGCCAATATCTAGTCAAAGACTCTATCCATGCCACATGGCTATACAGTATGTACGATCTTCCCTCCTAGTTCTGCTGCGACAAACCAAAATCCATCGCTTCTGCAAAAGAGACCATTCACTCCCTCCCCTCCACCCAACATAGTTATAACGACCAATAAATTCCCCACCCCCAGATCCACCAATTACACCTCTGTTGATGGTACCCTAGGTAACTGCAATGGCCTAGCGGTCCGAAAAATCTGCCCAAAGGTTACTGTACTAGCCTTGTAAAACCATATAGTACTTATAAACCAATTAACAATGTAAAACTCAGTTATCGTCTGGTTTTCGATCCGTGGGGCTCTTTAGATGGGAGTGGATTTTTCCTTGTGAAAGGTTTTTGGTGTAATTGGATTTTTTGGGGTGGGCGACGGGGGTTTGGAGAGGGAGTTTTGGGGTGTGGTGCTGGGGCTGTGGGTTGGTGATTGGGGGTTGGGGAGTGGGTTGTGGCAAGGTTGGTGAATAATAGAGGAGGTGGGGGTAAATTCTGGCTCGAGATTTAATACGGCTGATCTTGGCTGTCGAGATTGAAGTTTTGCTTGAAGGTGGTTTGAGACATCGTTTTGAACGGTGTCTTACTCAATGATACAGTAGAGTCACGTTGACTGCATGAGATCCAGAATCAGATAGTATCATGATCAGTCTGTCTGTGAGGGTGTTAATAATAGAGATATTGTGCCTAGAAACTGTTTTTTTAACTTAGCAGGAGAAGCCTCTAGGTGTCTAGAGTAATACTTTCCAGGTGTGAAATCTTGTCTCCAGAAAGAACGTTGACTAGAATGGAGGTGCATGTCCCAGATTCGATGGGGATTTCGTCATGTCCTTCATAAATCATAGAATAGAGCCTTGCGGCAGCGTATGTGTGAGCCATGAACTTGAATTAAGGCATGTGTGGTTAAAATTCGGGGAGCTATGTACTCAGGAATTAACTCCGAATCCCTTTTCTCATTTGTAAGTAAAAGGTTCTCACTTAATAGTTGTGTTGTTTATAAACCCGTCATGTACGATTCTACGAGTAACCTTGAAAAGAGAACGATTAAATGTAGACCTTGATTCTGGCTTACTATATAAAACACCCCCCCCTTCGGCTCTGAAAAGCCGCGACCTCCCTCTTATACCAATTCTCAACAGTCATGTCCTCGAATATAGGACTAAAAAGAAGTGAACGAGAGTACTCAAGGACTTAACTACTTAAAGATCCAGTAGCAGTTACTAACTCCAAAGAACTAACTATAAAAGCCAAACAACAGCCATCTATCTTACCTAGAATCATACCTACAACCAGAAAATATTACCAGAAAAACAACACAAAGGCTCTATTCCAAACAAGCCAGCTTTTCCAGCCAAAATTACCATCCCTTATATAAACCACCCATCAAAAAACCTCTCTAATCCATAATCCAAGGTTCACTTATCTCACCCCTCGGAGTTATTTATACTATACATACCTAACATCCCACTACTACAGATTTCAAGTATATATGTCTCAGTTAGTCTCGCGGAATCCTATCGCGACATATAACATTACAAAAAATGTAAGACATGCTTACGTATTATACCCCAACCTCTAGTTGGGTTGATTATCGAGTACTTCTGGAGAGCGATGAAGGATGGAGAGGCTGAATTGACGGCTGTGTTTTTAAGTAAGTGGTTCTTATGTGGTTTTCTGTATTGGTCAGATCAAATAGTAAATACTAGAGAAATTACAACCCGCACCACTTTGTCCTGAAATGTAGATGGGAGGTAGAACTCAGAGGCCATTCAGATCATGGGGTAATCAACACAAAGCCATTGGAATCGTCTAAACCATCTCCTCCCACGCTTTCACCCCCATTTTATCTACTTCTAGTGTTCCCTCATTACGGATTCCATCACCATCCAAAAGCACAATCCACCCCACAGATTCAATAAACCCATACCATCTACATCCAACCTTTACCAACCCCTGGCCCACCTCCATACCACAGGATTTCAAATCTGTCTTCGAAAACACTTAGACCAATCCCTCTCTCCATAACCACCACAATAAATATCCCTCCCTTATAAACGCGGCCCAAGAATTATTCAAATGAAACCTAACACTTCCCAAATTCTTGATATAGGGCAGGCTAAAAGAGAAAGACTCAGATCAGTGATTAGTGATTCATGAGAATATAGGAGCGGTATTAGATAGAGTAAGTAGAATAAGTTTACTTTATGATTTCTCACAGCGCCAAATACCATATATCAAATGATAAAACAAAAACAGCCCAGCGAGTGGGAAGATAAGAAAAACCCCCAAAAGAAACAAGAGAGAAGATCTAAAATTCTAAACTAACCTATTTATACTATATCAGGATATCCATAAGTAATCAGAAATATAATAACACTGCATATATACCTACCAAACTTCCATACCAATTATACAGTACAACAGTATATGGCCCCCCAAAACCAGTGACCAACCACCACAAAAACAGGACAAACAAGACCACCAAAAAAAAGAAGGAAGGAAAGAAAGAAAGAAAGAAAGAAAGACAAACCATCAAAAAGTCTAATAGCCCAGCACAGTACAGTCATCGCTCGATTTAAGCAAGGGACTTCGACGGTCATTGTTCAACATTCAAAAGATGAGATCCTCAAGAAACTTAGTCAAGTTCATAATTACAAGAACGCCTCGTATACTCCGTATCGCAAGGAAGCAAAAAGGAACAGTATCATATCACCCCAGGTATAAAAACAGGAAAAATGATAAGTGTACCCAATGTCTCTCCAACCATATCCTTTCAAATCATACACCATATATTATATATCATACCTACTCCTCTCTACTCCCCATCCCATTCCATCCACTTCCCATTTCCTCCTCCTCCTCCACTTACCCACCTACCTCCCAAAAACCGCCACAAATCCCTTACTCCCCACCGCAACACACCACCCCCCCTCCGCACTCCAAGAAACCATCCGGCCCGTGAACCTCGACTTCCCCTCAATACCCACCTCCTTATGCGGTTTCAACCCGCCATTCAACCCCGGAATACCCACTCGATACATTTCCCTCCATTTATTCGCCGACTTCTTCCAATCCACATTCGCAGTACTACCCCCTAATCCGCCCTCAGTATTTGTACTCTCCGAATTGCCAGAGATACTCGTACTCGACGTAGACAACGTATCACGAACGCGAGCAAGCGCCGCCGCGCCCGCAGAACGAGATTTATTGCAGGTATGTAGGAATGCTGGACGATTCGCGGCATGTTGATGGTCGTCCCCATCTAAGCTCCCGCAATACTCTACGTAATCTACTAAACGTCGCAAATCCCAAAGTTTCAGACGCGAGTACTTAGTCATGAACCCCAAGACCGGTCCCATTCCTTCTACCACGGGACTAAGTCCAAATCGGGTATATAAAAGATCCCCATCTTCAATATGAAAATGCGCCAATCGTACGAATTTCACCTCTTTGGGGTCTGTGGAAAAGTAGGATTTTGTAGCATGTCCTTGGATGGCAGGTGCTTGGGAGGGCGAGGGAGGTGGGAGAGAGGAATCGAAGGAGGTGATGCACCAGAGGACTATGACGTTTTCTTTTTCTTTTACCTCTTCTTCCTCGGATTTGGAGAGTATGAGGTCGCCGTGCCAGGCGACGCTATAAGTAAGATGTCAGCATGAAGTAGAAGGGGAGGGGGCGCAAAACGAACCAGTCGATTATTCTCCCGTCATGGATTTCTGAACTTGAAAAATGCGGATATCGAATCAAAGTTGGTTTTGCTGTGCCGGTATTTTTGTCTGGGAAGATTGGGAGAGTCCACTGTGGTTGTTGGGTAAGATTTGGTTGTGAGAGGGGCACGGCAACTTACGAGGTTGACAACCGAGTCTGCTCCACCTGATAGGAGATGTCTACCATTGTGATGGAATGCCTAATTTGGTCAGAACGATGTACCTTTTCATGGCAAAACCCTCTCACTTACTATTGTATAAACATCAGCTTTATGTCCCTCCCCAAGCAACATTGCTGCGAGAGGATATTTCTCATGGGCTGGATCAAGACTCCATATCCTGACTGTCTGATCATAAGAAGCGGAAGCTAAGATGTAGGGAGAAGATGGCGAAATGGCGAGATCGTTGATGTCCTGAAAATGATTTAGTACTTTATACATTTTCATTTAACCGATTTCTTACCCCCCCATGACCAGTGAGAACCTAACAAATATTAGTAAGCTAAAAATGATATGGAGAAACAGTGAGAAGTGTACTACCCTCAATATTTCCCCTTTAACCACATCAATGATGTAAACAACTCCTCGATGACCAGCTGCACAAAGCAAGGGGGTTCTCGTGGATGGATCTCTCGTCCAGACACAAGAGTACAGATCCTCTTCTCGTTCGTCACCCACATTGACAGAAAGCTCGAGAAGCTTTACAGTTTCAGGCTTCCCACATGAACTAATCCGAAAGACAATAACCTTACTTCAATCAGTCCCAGGTTTCAAGGTCCAATCATGAAATACTCACGACTTCTCCGCCTACCACAGCAAATATAGGATCCTCTTCTGATGAGGTATACGGGTAAAATTTTACGGAGTAGAAATCTATCCATACAATCAGTCTTCTTCATTGGGAAACGTGATATCGAAAAGTCACCCACCCCTTTCACCGTACTCCTATAGAAAAATTTGATTAGAAAGTCTTCCCAATTTTTGAGATCAAGATCGAAGACTATTCAAGCTAACCCCTCTTGAATCCACATAGCTACTTACATGTACCCGATTGGTGGCTTTTAACATGGGGAGATCCCACTCACGCTCAGATGGAGTTGGTGCCATCCTGCTATGTTTATCATAGAGATTTTTTGTATTGGCTTAAAATCTTCCGAGATGCAGTGTCAAGGCTGGGCCAGGCACAGGCGAACCCCACGAAAACCTGCGAGTATGCTGACCCAATGAGGAAGGCTTTGATGACAAATTTTGTATGTTCCGCCACAGTATCGATTAAGCCCTCCACTACTAGAAGAGTTACAGGTTCCACACAATGCAGGAGGACAAAATTGTCAATTACCTGCAGCAGCTAGAATTCCAGAATCCATGTTAGCTTTGTTCGTATTAGACAGTAGGTGAAAATGAAGCCCTGGACAAGCGGATCAATGCAGGATCCCACGAGACATCAGGTGCAGAGCAGGACATAGGCAAGATTCAACGTACTATGGCATTTCGCAGCGGGTCGTTGACGTTGGCGCAGAAAATGAGATGAGGGGTGGACTGATGGACTGATAGTGGAGAGGAAGACTGCAGTGTACATACATTGTACATACATGTACTGTACTCGTACTCGTGCACCAAGAAATGAAATGCAGCACTTGCAGTAGTGGGCTACACAATGTGCAGTGCAGTACTAGAGCGAGGTGGAGCTGCCGCTTCTCACTCAGGGTCTCGGGAGGGTGAGGCTCGAAAGCGAAGCGCCTCAGGACGGGACCAGACAGGGACCTTTGGATGCTCGTACTTGGTACACCCAAGGGCACGTGGAAGAAAAACGCGAGAATTCCTCTCCCTTGAAGGATATATCTACCAAAGTCTTTTCACGGCCTGGACCGAAAGAGACGGCCTGGACCGAAAGAGGGGAGAACAAAGTGTAACAGAATCGGCGCAAAGCAAACGTGGCAAGCCAGGTGCAGATTATAGAAGGTCGTCTCAGTGGTGAAGATGAACACTTTCGCCTGAGTCCCCAGGTTCGGGCCGAGTGGGAGAGCCGAGCCCGGCTATATAACCGAGTCCACGGAGATACTTCCCCCCGTAAAAACATGACAAGTCACAATGATGAGAAATGCTTCTCGCTCTACCGCAATAGTTCTTGCGTGGTTGTCCTTGTTCTACAATCATTTCACTTCCTGTCTGGATTTTTTGAAACTGTGATGGGCCGGAATTTTCCACCGTCATGAACCACATCACGATCATACCACTTTCAGAAGTCACTCAAACTAACACCTACACCGACACCGTCGAGTTACGTATCCGCAAACAGGCCGCAATTCTGGGTGGCGTCTGGTATGATCAATTTGGTCATTGACCTTTTGTCAAGCCATGATAAATAATCATTTTTGATACGTACCTGGCAAAAGTGGGAGTAAGTCATGATTGGACTTCTTTGTGCTCTGCCGTACCTAGGTGAAGTATATTAGAACTTCTCTGCGTCAGAATGGCTAAATCTGGTCTGATCTCCAGTCGTGGTCCTATGTCCTTATCGTCGATTTCTATAAAATAGGACACTTTCGACCCCTCTTCAAGGAGGACCAGGGAAAGAGGTAACCGCGCCACCCAAACGTTGGATTAATTCTAGAACAGTGATTCCGGGCAAGGTGGTATACAGCTGTGGCAACTCAATAGGCTTCTTCGAGGCTCTCGGCATGAAACCCTGCTATTCCACACAAGGCGTTGCTCATTTGGATTCCCAAAAGTAGGGTTGAGGTTCCACGACATGAAGTATTATTGAAACCTTTACTCAGGCAGAACAATTGATATAGAGGAAGTAATGACGTCCTGAACGATACGTCATCTCAGAGGCCTAGTTTGAGAATAAATGCTTACAGCAGTACAAGCTGAAACCCCAGAAGAAGTATGGAGATAAGGATGCAAAACATTAGCAGCCAAAACTTAACCTATTAATACATTGATCTTAGTAACGTCTGTCAGTAAGTTTCTCCGATACACTTATGCAGTGCACAGAAACGCCGCAACACATCAACGTCACGTCTCAAATCCACATTTCTTTAGTTGGAAAGTGGATTGGCGACGATGGATCCCCATCCTACGTTTCGCGAATGAAGCCCAGCGCAGCTGACAGTTCGACCCGATTCCTGGTATTGGTACTGAAGTAGGTACGCTAAAAGAATTCGCCGAATGCTGTGGATACGTCTCCTGTGCTAGCTGTCAAAACCAAGACATGTAGTGAAAGTGTAGTAAAGGGTACATGTAGGTCAAAACCGTGGTTCCGACCATTGTGTTGGCACTTATGGGACAATGGCAGAGACTGATTCAATGCCAGCAAATCTCTCTGGAGATAGAGCAGGGGATAAAAAGGGTGCAGAGTTGGCACCTCTCACAGATCGAGATCTGGAGTCTTGAAGTTTTCAAAATTGGCTTGAGAGGTAACGAAGACCTATAGAGAGCATTGCTGATCCGCTCTGAGTGACACACTTATGTAGGGCCGAAGATGTCACTCAGGGACAAGCTGAAAGTCCTTTCGAGGTTGGCGTTGGTGTCTCCTGATGAGGGGAGAAACGAAAGAGCGTGTCAGAGGGGAAATGATCCACGCCGAGATCACATACTCGTACTCCGTAGGTGCGGTACTGAAGTGACGAAGTGTTCCTCTGATCGGCACCCTTCTCGGGACGGCATCAAGCTCGCTACAGTACCGACTTAGGATGTCTCACGCAGGTCAACGTCAACTGCTCCCATATTCTAGTCATCAAGGACAATAATGCAAGTGTGGTTGGCCTTGGTGTGAGGGAAATGTGGTTTTGTTGGCAGTGCGAAGTACCCAAGACAGCAGGCTGCATCAATATGCAAGTAGAAGCAGCTGCACCGCACACTTTTCTATGCTTCCAATTCCTTTCACCCCTCTCCTAGCTGCTATGCGAACCGCCGTGGGCTTGGGTTGATGGGCTTGTCCGGAAAGTGCAATTGTGCAAGCCGTGAAGATGTATTCTCGAAGCTTAGGCCGCCCGCTGTTTTTATCCGCGCGATTGCAAGGCCGGCTGAAGCGACTTTGTAATCGCTCGTTATGCGAATCGACTGGAGTGTGCTAATGTTGTTTTTCCGTTTTTTCTTGAGATGCAATGCAGGTGCAGTCTAAACCCAGAATCCTTAGGTACTACTAAAAGGATCCAGGGACGGGAGTTGGAATTGACTTTACAGGGTGTCATGGTGACCCTGTGTCGATCTTTCTTGGACCCAGCGAACGCGCGAACGTCAACATCGAGTGGAGGGGAGGGGCATACGGCGATGGCGGGCTGGGATTGTGTGATTTCTTCGCAAAAAACACCCCTTTCAGCAGGTAACCAAAGAGAGGAATTGGCCAATCTCTGGATTGGATGTTTGAAGAATGTTTGAAGATGAAATCATCCATTGAGCAGAATGCCGCAAGCCTCCGAGGCAGAGGCAGAGGCAGAGGGAGTGACCCGTGAATCTCTGGGAAGCCCTCGAGGTCTCCCAACCAGGGTTATCAGGGCTATCAGGGTTACCAGTAGTTTTCTGATGAACATACCAATACATTTCTGCAGGGGAAATTTTCAAGGTTGCATTCAACCTGGAAGCAGACACGTAGATGGGCAAGTAGTGCCTAGATAGGAAAGTTGGATTGCTAGACAGCACAGCTACTCGAGTACATATCGGCGTGGAAGTGGCGATCTACTGGGCTATATATAAAAAGTACCGGTGCCAGGTTCCTCCCGGAGCTCCTTCCGTCACTGCGACTACGTCTACTCGAGGACGCCTACGCCTACGCCTACGCCTACACCTACGCCTACACCTACGCCTACTTCCCATCTGGCCAGCAGCAAGTCTACCCGCACCAACTGCCCCGTGCCTGCCACCTATGAGCGAGTGAGGTAATACCAGGGCCAGTTGTTTCTGCAGCAAGAGCCACCCAAGTACCTATACCTACCAAGGCTCACAAGTACCTACCTAGTTACCTGCTACCTATTGCTTACTGCATAGGTACTCGAGTACATTTCCCTCGAATACATCTGCACCCACCTACCTAGGCACTTACAGTACATTGTACCTACTTCCACCTCAATTGAGCTACACTGCACGGTCGCAAACTCCCACTGGTCACTGTCCTGGCATCTTCCCTGCCCGTTAGCTTCACAAGGCAACAACCTTTTTTTGAGGGTACCAGTACTTGTACAGTACCAACTCCACTCCACTATTTCTGCGTCCGGTGTTCCTCGAAGCGCTGCGTAGGTGATGTAACGGTACAACACCAAGCGGAACAGGCCACTCTTGTCCCGAAGCCTCGAGATACTCACACGCATACGCACACGCTCTGCATAAGGTTACTACGGTACTACGGAACTGCACCTGCACCCGCACCATCAGAAGAGACCGCATTGTGCGCCTCTGGTAGCCTCTGATTCTACCGACTCAGTCTCCACTGACTCCCACCAAGTCTCTACATATACCCCCTTTCCAACCCCTTCTTTCCACAACCTTTCCGATTGCCAACTTCTCCCCCGATATCTGAACCTCAACCGGGCTGGTCTACATCGTCGCGTCTCCAGAAGGACTGAGCATCTTTTTAGAGATACAAACGCCAGATCCTTCACCATGGAGACAACATTCATCACCATCCATAGTAAGTGATGAGCCAGCCGGCGGAAAGTGCTACTGGTGGTACATCATCTACAACTCAACTAACACCGGTCCAATAGATCTTTCTGAGAACGCCAATATTTTGTATGCGTCGGATTCCATTGTCGATATCTTAGGCTACCTTCCACACGAAGTGGTTGGCAGATCATGCTTTGATTATTTTGTTGAACACGAAATTCCTTCTGCTAGGTCTATCCACAATAAAAGTGTGGAGCTTGACAAAGCTGCTGTCCTTCATTATGCTACTATCAAAGGCAAGGACGGCCGTCCGGTCTATTGCGAGTGTGTTTTTACCGTCGTCTACCAAGTACTTGTAGCATGTACCAGTATCTACCGAAATGATGTAACGAATGAGCGTAGGTTGACTTCAACAGATTCCATGGCCCAAGCTAAAATCAATAGGTCGAGCGCTCGAGGCCCCAAATGTTCAACGCCTCTTTGCCTCACCCCCAAAAGATCCTCGATATCACATGGCGGAGCATTTGAGGCCCAAGTTCGAAGAGCCCCCACAAGAGTCTCTGTTGGAGCCACGAGCTGCTTTGATCCTCAATCGTTTTACACGAACCTTGAGTATCATGTATGCAACCAGTGCAGTTGAAAGTATCCTGGGGCTGACAGTGGATGAACTGCAAGACAGAAGTTTCTATGCATGCATTCAAGAGAACTGTCTCCCCGAGGCTCTCAGATGCTTGGAAAGTGCAAAGTCCAACGACTCAATTGCCTATCTCCGCTTCTGGTATAGAGATCCACGTACCGATGACGAGGACTTGGAAGAAGGTATGCGCGAAGCAAGTGCTAGCAGTGATTCCGATGATGGCGGAGTTGACCTACGTGAGAATATGGATGTTGATACCGATGGTACGGGAGAGAGTAGTGAAGCTCAACGGGGAAGTACGGCGTCAGGCGAAAGACGACTTGGTGGACATCTCGCTAGGGAGAGATTGATGAACAATTCACGAACTTCTTCCGGCGAAAGCAGCACTGATCTAGATCGTAGCTCATCTGGGGCCGTCTTTGACCGCGCGGGAGCAGCGTCGTCTTCTTCGACTTCTTCTATCGGCACGTCTCATGCAGGCAGTGGCCCTTCACCACACACACAACGTCCTAGACCTGGCCCCCCGCCATTCGAGATTGAAGCTGTCATTTCATGCACCTCGGACGGCTTAGTTGTGGTATTGAGACGAGCTCGTGTACCCATTCCGCCTCAATCGTCTGGAGGTGTCTGCGCGGCTCCCTGGGGTGTCGACGCAATCCGGCCTCATGCACCTCCTTCTGGTCCACCAATGGAAGATTTCATGGCTGCCATTCAAGAAATCGCGGTATTTGCATGGGCTTTAACTGGCATCAATGGTAACATTGCAGCCTACGGAAGAGGAAATCCACGTGGAGAAGCTCAACCTCCCGGTGGACTACCGATTTGGGACCCATACGCTGAACCAACCCCAGACTATCAGCCACCAGAAAATCAAGCTCAACGAAGATGGGTCGAGCATGATCGCAACAATGCCCCCATTGACGAAAGCAAAACTCCATATCAACACATTCGCCAGGACCAAACTTATGGCAGAATGACGTATGAACCAAGAGTACAGCCTCGCCACCATCGTCACCGCCGTCCAAATGAAAACAATGCCTACCAGCGATCACCACATAGTGGCGGTATGCAAGGAGGTAGCCATGGTCAGACTGGAGGAAACCATTATAACCCACCAGCACCCGATGGTTCTGGAGGAAGAAATGCAGGAAACAGAAATAACTGGTACTAAGTAGCGTACCTTGTCATACTTGATGGGTAGCTGAGAATGATCTTGGGCAATTTGGCGCAGAGGCAGCGCGAGGTGAAATGACTGAGCTTTATGAGCCATGAACGATGAATAACCAAATTCCATTGAAACAATTCAATAGTATAGCTCTCGCAATAGCAGGCTATTGATCAATACGAAACATTTCAAATCTCCTTGATTTTGCTGTACATTCATATAAAAGCTTGTGTGATGAAATGACCCATTGCATTTTTATATCCGCGTACTGGAGTAGAAGCGGACAAATGAGGTGCCGGCCATATATCACGTGATTTGGCAAGTCTCCACTTGCAAGGATGTTGTAAACGGCCTGGGTGGAGAGGAAACCGTGGAAGTAGTTGAAGCTATCAATTACCACAAGTCAACCACATCAACTCCTGCGCCGGCCAAATTTGGCTATTCCATAACCCATTTCAAGGATACGGCATTTCGATTTTATGCCGGAGTAACAATCTTACTTTTCGAACAAGATGGCCTCATCATCCAATCCCTATGAACATTACAATCAACCACACGTCGAGGATGACGATTTAATAGATCCAGATGATGGTGCGTGTATTTGCGACTCCCAGAGCCCTCTCGAAATCGACTGGTGAGATTATAAGGAAGACAGTGCTAATATCTCTTCTGATAGCAAACCTCGACGACCTAGACGACCCCCTCCAACCTCTCCAATCCACCTCCTCCCGCGCACCTCTCACAGGAAACATAGCCTCCGACGCCCCAGCCTCCAATCAATCCTACCTCACCTCGCGCATCCCAGGCGAAGACCGTCGCGCGCCCACCAACACCATCGACGAATCAGTCTGGGAAACCCTTCGTCGGGATCTTCTTGCCGTCTGGTCCAAGATGCGCGAGGTGTTGTACCCCAAGTACCTCTTTGGGGGCTCCATGTTGGAAGGCACTTCCGGATTCCGAGGCGCGTATGAAAACCTGAGGGGAGTGGGAATTAGCGGCGCGAGGGATGAGATTGTGGGGATTGCGGGGAGGGCGCTGGATCCGGATGTGCTGCTGAATCAGGGCAATATGAGTGAGGGACTGCGAGATTGGGATCTTTGGGGTCCGCTGGTATTCTGTCTTTTGTTGAGTTTGCTGTTGAGTTTTAATGCGGCGGGGGATCAGAAGAGTTTGGTTTTCTCGGGCGTTTTTGCGATGGTTTGGATTGGGGAGGCGGTTGTTACGTTGCAGATTAAGTTGTTGGGCGGGAATATGTATGGCTCCCTCTTTCCTCCCTTTCAAGAGTTTTGTGAAGAGAGAATTATGTTTACTGATCTGAATTAGCTCCTTTGCCCAAAGCGTCTGCATCATCGGCTACACGCTCTTCCCCCTCGTCATAGCAGCCCTCCTCTCAGCTTTCAACCTCTACTTCGTCGCTCGCATACCCATCTACCTCGTCCTCATCGCTTGGTCATTGGCTGCTGGTGTCAGTATCCTCGGTGGAAGCGGGGTGGTCAAGAATCGCGTGGGCATTGCGGTCTACCCGCTTTTGGTATTCTATCTTGGCTTGGGTTGCCTGTGTTTTATTAGCTAAAGGGATTTCGGCTCTTTTACTTGCTTTTTACCCGCGAGAGAAGATGGCAATCTGTGAATTGAAGAGAGAGGAGTATTTGTACTTTTAGATCTTGGTCTTGGTTTCTTATTTTATTTTTGAGATCCTGGTAGGGTTCCCCCGATAGGGAGGCTCGGGAGGGTGTTGAGGAATTGCTAGGTTTTATTATACCCCTTACTAAATACCTCGCTACTTTTGTTTTCGTGGGTCCGTTCTTGGTAAGTTTATGTTTTCATGGATTTTATCTCTTTTTGGGAATGGGGTGGGTAGGGGGGAGGGGTGATGATGGAAGGTAAGTAAGGTAGGCCGAGAAGGGTATGTAATCTGACGATATTCTCTTCTGGTTTCTATGCTCTTTGGTTTTCTCACATGTAAGATTACTGTACTTTTTGATTGGTTTTTACCTTATTGTGGTGGTGAGTACTACTCGTCTGGATTTCACATCCCGTTCCGTAACCATATTTACTCCTCGAATGATGGATATAACGGTATGAACGAAACGATGGGATTGGATGGGTGGGATGGGCTGGTCTTGAGAGATATATGTTTAGTGTTTGAATTGAGCCTTTCATTTTCGGTTGATTTCTCTTTTTTTCTTGTTCGCGAATCGCTTCTTGTATGGATCGTATCCTGGGTGTTGAATGTTGAATAGATTGTTGTATGTTGTGTTGTATGTACTGTATGACATTGTTGATAGGTGGTAGATTGATAGATTGATATGCGGGAAACAGAGAAAGAGGGAGGAAGTGGGAGGGAGAGGGAGAAGGGGAAGGTTAGATGTAATCTTACTTGTGATTAGTGAGGATGATCGAGGTGGAAAGGTATGGGTTTTGTTGTGGAGGTTTGAAGTGGTGAGTGGATGATCAGTGAGTAGGTAGGTTTGAAATATAGATGGTGATCTTGGGTGAAGGGGTGTTGTACTGGACTGAGCTGAGAAGACTGGAGGAGGGTGGTGATGGTGTGAGAGGCAGTGGTGAGGGAGGGGGAGAGTGATGAGTGTGAGAGGTGAGATAGTGTTGAGAGGGAGAAGGAGAGAGAAAAGTAAGGGGAGGGGTGATCAACAAAAGCCTCCAGCTAGCTGTATTGCATTCGGAAAAGGGGTTCCTGGAGACTTGGATTTGGGTATGGTTGCTTATTACCTCAAGGAGCCTTTTTTTGTTTCTCTCTGTAGTTGTAGAGAGGCTGTTGGTGAGAGTTGGAAAGTGTTTCTTAGATGTTTGGATAGGATTGCTTTTCAAGTTTCCGAAAATTTGCTATCCACCAAGATTATTCCTTGATGACTCTTGCGCTTGCTGAAGTATATTGGCTGGATCGCATGTACTACGCGACCTGTTATAGAGGGAGGCTGTAGATAGTAGAATATTTACTTCTTGGGGGTTTGAGCGAGATAGGTGAAGAAGATACGCGCTTTTTTCTAGATTACTAGATGGGCTTTGGATATTGAGGATGAGGGTTTTAATGTGTTTGTATGTTATACATTTATCGAATGGAGGATTCATTTAGTTGTTAAAGGGAGGGAAGAGGGTTGTTAGGAAGGTAGGCTTATGAGGGGTTTGTGGGTGAGTGGGAGTACTTGTTGGAAGTTCTGGATATTGCATAGATAACCAGTGGGTGGAAGGTGTTTACAAGTGTGATCACATACAAAGAGACTAATTACAAGAACGTCTTTCTAAATCCCTTAGTTCTTCAAACTTTCTTCCGATTTTTCTTCCTCGCTTAAATTGGCCTATCATCGTCTCCTGGATGAAGACCTTCACTTTCGCTACTAGTTTCTTCAATTTCCTCCACACTACTCCCATTTTCGCTCTCGTCATCATCATTATCTATATCTAATTCCTGAATCGTGACTGAGAAGCTTCGACAGATTTAATCTCTTTTCTTAAAGTCCTCAATCAATTCTGTAAGCTCATCTACTCCACATTCACCCGTACCCAGGTTCTCAACAAACACAAAGCCCTTCTCGAAGTATTGGAGTATCAAGGCACACATATCCACCATCTTATCCCCATATTCCTTCCGGACGGACAAGGCGGGTTTCTGAATGTAGATATTCTCTAGCACCGCGTAGCGGGCTACTATTCCTACTATGTCTTGGAGCTGGGTGAAAAGGTATCGAAATCGAGGATCGGGAGCTGGAGATGAGGGGGGGAGTTTATGGTAGTCCTTTATTGTTCTTAGCTAGGTATACCCTTCTCGGTGGGATGACAGTGGATGGTGAGAGAGGGTGGCTTACGACAAGTAACCACCAAATGCAGTTCCAAACGAAATTTTCCCGCTGCTCCAACCCTATTTGTTTATGGACTGCGAGTATCGTTTTAAGTATTTTCCCTTGAACTTCTGCCGTGCCATGTCTCTCCAAATTATTGGTCGCCTCTTTGGATCCGAAATTTGCCTCCCAAATTAAATACAGCAGGTTTTCGCTGGCGTGGTCAACTAAATCTTAGGGAAATATCATTGTTCGTTTCGAAAATTGTGAAGTTAGAGATGCGACGATTTCTGGATGTTGTATTTGGAGAAATGACCGAGTTTTGGACCACAGAGTTTGTGGTTTGGCGGGAGTAGATGGTTGTAATGATGTTATTTGTTGCAAGGAGAGTCGAGGGATGTGCTCAGTGGGAGACCGTGGAAGAATTCTCGGGCCACTTATCATTGCGAGAGTCTTCCCTGCGACGGGATTCGAATCTCTTTTGCTCGCCACCAATTCCGTATTATACCTAAAATAAGGAATCAGAGCACCCATTAAATAGGGGTTGTTGATGCAAGCCATAATTGGTGGTTCTGTGGTTAGGAGAGATTGGAGACCTGTGTATAGTGTATGCATAAAGATATTTCCGTGCTGAACATCTTCCAACTCCTGCTCCGGCAATAGAGCCCTTTTTTGGATATTGTCTAGTTGAAAGGAGTCTTGAATATGGTAATCCTGGGAAGCTAAACGTAACCTTGTAAAAATATCCACAAGAAATGAATCCGACTTTTTCGAGTGTCTATGAAGGTTCAATACAATATCTGTCAAAAGAGTGGACCCTATCATTTCCAACTTCCTAACGTCCAGATCTTTGAAGTCACAGGTATCACCCGCCTGAAAGAAATGGTTGTACTTTATATTAATGATTGCTTTTCCATCCTGAAGCTGCGTTTTGAGCATGTTGGTTGCCAAGCCCAGTTCTCGGGAGCGTGGTGTTTGTTCATTGACGGTGTTTGTTATGGTGGGGATCAAGGAATAGATTGTTCGCAAGGAGGGAAGAGAGACGCTCTTCGCACTCCTTAGGTATTTGTCTATCTACGGAAGGGTACACCCGCAACTTCGCTAAGCGAACCCTTATTCACTAAATCAAAAACTGTCACAGTGTTCTCCAGTACTTCAATGGCTGTTTGATATGCATGCAGAATACTTTCAACAGCTTCTTTAACCTTGTCTTTTAACTCGTATTCTTTTTGTGCTGACAAGGCACTCCTGAAACTATCGGTTGATGGCAGAGATCTCAGACTTGGCGATGCTGTCTTGGATGGGAAGTTCGTAAGTTGCATGTGAGATTGAGGTGGTGCCATTGGGGAAGTCATATGATTTCGAGTAGGGGATTGATTTTCTATACATACGGAAAATGGTTCGTTTGTAATCCCTGTGCTAGCTTGGCTGGTGGCTAATTCGACTGCTATGGCGTTCATCGTAGGCAATGAACTGGCAGTAGCCGAACTTGCTAGAGAAGAGACAGATTCCCTACGACTGTTAATTTCTCCGGATTTGTTGCCCGTGGTTGCCATGACTGCCTGAAGTCCTGTGTTATGACGGGAGGATTGAGAAGGTACGCCAATAACTGGGTCTTCCACCAAAAGAGTCATTCCATCGAATCCAGTGGATGTTGACCTGCTCGCCTCAGCCGAATGAAATTCGTTGAACGCTGGCTTCGATTCCCTGGCCCTTGCATTATCTATAGGAAAGCCAGTGTTCGAAGTCATGGAAGAGTTGTCCTGGCAGTCTGAGTCGGTAAAACTTTGGACCGATATACCATTCGTTTTCACAGCTTGGACTGCTTCCTCAAGACGTCGGATAGTGTTGGGCCTCAAGACTCTCCCTTCCCCACTTTGGAGTTTGCTTCTGCTTGAAATGCCTCTGCAAAAAGTGTCAGTCATGCGACTATCGAACTCATATCTGTTCAATTCATCGCAGCCGCGCTTTCATCTTGCTTAAAGACACAGAGTACGCCGTGGATTAACCAAAATGAGGAGATAAAGTTCAACTCACAACCGCGATAACTCCAAGTCCAAATGTAGACTAACAGTGATCTGCACCAGAACTCCCCTCATATCACTTAATCGCTTCATCAATTTCCTGATTTCCTCCTCCTTGAAGCCCCACCTAACTCTTGTTCTCCAACCCCCTTTTCCTAATTTGCCCGTTAACTTTTGTATCTTAACATACAAATTAGAGGCACCCCGCATAATCTTGGCGGCACAGAGATATATATCATCTGAATAAAAACACTCGCCTTCTTTCAAGAGTCTAGAGAAAACCATCAGAGAATCAGAGAAGGATTCTAAATCCGAGCATAAGGTGATTGTATCTTCTGGCGCAGAGGAGATGGCGGAGGTGAGGCTGTAGAGGGATTTCGAGAGGGACAGAGCGACTGAGGCGAGTTGGACGATGCTGGCTACGGCTCCAAGGGCGGTAATGGGATCCATAGTTGAACGGATTTGTGTATAAGATACGAGTGCGTGCTGACCTCTGTAACCTTGACGTTTGGACAAAGGGAAAGTATGAACGGTTCAACGGAAATCTGAGATGCTGAGCTTGTTGCAAGGTAGGCCGTGCCGTTAGCGCTCAGCCATGTGAAAATCCCCGTATACCTGCACAGATATTCACCGATCTGATACACGTGACCTACTTCCTTTTTCCACCCCTATTTTTCATGATCTTTATTGCAATAACTGAACTTCACCAGTATTTGAGATAACCGGTAGTCAATTGCTTGTAAATGAGTTTCAAATTCTCAGCGCTTTTAAAGACGGTGTACACATATATACAAACCTAGAAAAGTCATACTGTACAAACATCGTTGTTGTAGCTGTCGAAGGTCAATCTACAATTACTTGAACAAACTTATGTGAGATCTATTTTAATCAATGGCCGAGAACGGTCGTAGAGGATTGCGTTTCACGTATATTCTTTTCAAAAGTTGTTAAGGTTGAAAGAGGTTGCCCAAACCAGTCATGCCTGATGGCAAACATAAATACGTACAGTCATGGCTTGATGCAAGAAGACAAAGTAAAGAAAGTCCTGCCAGATCATTTTCAAGTCTTTCGTATCATCATCTCCGTCATTCCCCAACAATGGAATGGTATTCGGGTATCGTGCACGCTCGCTCAAACGCATATCAGACAAGGAAACACTACAAGGTACATTAGATCAGTTTGCTGGCAATTTTGACAGCGACCTCTCATAACATCTGATAGGAGCTTTAGGAATACGAAGAGCTTCAGATGACGTTGAGTTTGATCCGGGATTTGTGCCAGTGCTAGCCCAATTACTGCGACCGGCAACGGGGTCTGTTGATTGAAAGAATCCCTGGACTGCAGGATCCAATGTGTTGAACCCATAACCACGATGGCGAACGCTTGAGTGTATCTCTTCATTGGTAATATAGCCAGGGCGAGAGTGGCGACCTGGAATCCTTCTCTCAGTACCGAGTAATCTGAGCGAGAGGGAGTTAACAGGTTTGATGGGGTTACTGATCCAGTTTGGGATAACTTTTCCTTGGAACCAATGAACGAAAGAATATTTGAAATTGTGTAATGACACTGAGAATTGGAAAGCTTGTGTTAGGGCAGGGTTTGGGCATTGACGAGCACTAGTATTCGTAAATATTTGTTAGGAAGAGCCCAAAACCTTTCCATATAAGATATAAGAGATCAAGACCATGAAGTGGAAGTCGTTGTAACACATTATATTAGTACTGTGGTAATTTAGAGAAACGAGGTTAGGTTTCCAGCAAGCTCGACGTCGTGGAGCCTATTAGGGAAGCTAGTAGTCGCTCGTGGCAAGTGGATACCAGGTGGATTCTAGTGACATGGAAATGATCCAAGAGAGTCCAATCAAAAAATGAGATCCCTGCACAGACCAAAATACGACCAACAGAATTTGTACAGCTGTGCCTCGATACACGAAGTTGAACATTCACCTATCAGTTCTAGCCCTAAAGAGTATGGGCTGCAACAACCCGAACACGTAACACCGCACAACTTTCATACGATGATAACCCACAAATACATGATCATGACATCGAACTCTCTTCATTATCATTTCAAACATAACTGCTCTTGGGAGCCCAAGTCTTCTATGTGTCCTTTTAGTGACCCAGTCCCAAAAGAAGACCTTAGCTATCGCGAATGAGACAGGTGCCAGACCGTCGGCGCGTTAGCCCCAAAACTCCTCATTACATTTGTTTCCCGCCGACTGTCAACCATCTTAAACGCCAAAAAAAAGAGTTTGCCCTATTAGATCTCACAAGGAAAATAAACAATCAAGGATGTCCGGGTATCAAAACATGGCGAAAAAATCAAGAAAACAAAAGTCTACCCCCATCCCCTCTAGGAAAACGCCTGCTGAAATTCCGAATAGGTATGATACACGACAACGGCGACCGTTTCAGTGATCCAAATAGGTGTTAGAAGGCCCACTTCTTCGTTTTGTTGGATGTTGTCCTTGACTGCCGCTCGAGACACTTCTGACATCTTCCACTGGCCGTCTCGACCATATTTCCTCGCCATTGGTCAAGGATGCGTTCAAAGATAGACGCATCGCTGTAGTTACCAGCGCGTCTTCTGCTCGCATACGGCTCAAGCTTTTTTCATACTCTCGGACGTCCCTCTCATTTTTGAAGAAAGTCATGTTTGTGGGAAGTTCCGCCGGGAATTCTTGTGGTACAGGGCTATACTCTTCTTTTCTTGCTAGTGGCACGCTTTAGAAATTGATCTAATGTTTGCTAGATGTCCCACTGGGAATAACTTACGAGCGTCAACACATATCGGATGCCCCGTTTCCCCAGTGTAACAAGATTTCTCATGTGGCTGACTTTCAACGTTCTTCCAATTCCTTCCAAGCATGATATCACTTTCCATCTTGTCGTCGTTAATTATTATAAACCACGTACGGTATGATTTCTTCGGAACTCCGTAGAACCTCCAAGTCAAGTGGGTTCTGTCCCCTTTCCTTTCGAGTGGGCATCGGTTCACGATCTCGGAGGATATAAAACAGTCGTCTTCTTTGCAGAAATTCCAAACGGTGCTATCCCACTCCCCTTCCTGTTTCACGAATATGCCCAGAGTTTCGGAGGGTTTGTTCCGCTGTTGAGATATTAGCACACCAGCAGACAAAGATTATAATGGACCGACTTACGGAAGCTTCCTCATCCAAGGTAGGAGAGAATGAAGATTTTAATTCTTCCTCTGCAACAGGTAGCTGTTCTGTCTCCGAATTACAGCTGCCGTTTTCGGGCCGGATATTTGGACTTCTTGGGGGAGTAACGGGTTGGGCTTGTGTATGATGTTGATAGTAATAATCATATATGAAGTCTCGTTCGTCATCAAGCATCGAAGCTGTAACGCGACGCGGACAATTTTCCAGGAGATGCGCGCGGAAAGCCGACCAATTCTTCTGCAAAGGAACGTTTTCAGAGATGGCAGTTTGAACTGCTGCCTCAACACCCCTTTGCATCGCAGGGGTGAGGGAGGACATTCCGAAAACTGAAAGCAGGAACTCAAGCTGCAATCTGCAAGTGGATATGGGAAGCCTAGCCGGAGAGCTGGCAGAAGCCAGCAGATGGAAGACTCCAGGACAAAGATCTTTCGCTGAGCACAAGAGCCACGAGAGCCCAAAGCCGTTTAGTAGAATCTTCAACTGCGAGGTATTGTGCAGTGCGACTGCAGATTTGCGATGGAACTCCAAGATGGATAACCCGAGTTCTCGTGGGGGAGAAAGACGCTGAGATGGAACAGCTCTGTGTGGGTATGTCAGTCAGCGTTTTGTTGACTGACGTAGGTTGGCGGGGAAGGCTGAGCTGTTGAAGCCGAAGAAAATGAATAGGGTGAACCGAGAAAGAGAAACATTTGAACGAAATGATCATCTAGGAGCGCCAATTGAAGTTACGGAAACAATTATTGAGGGCTCTCCGTGAATAGTGGGGGTTGTGTTGAAAGAAAGTAAACAGTCTAAAAGGGCTGCACATAGCACTCTCGTACTCGAGTAGTGTACGAGTACAGCCCTTGAGCGCATCCCGCTATTCCCCAGATTTCAAGAGGGGGGTGAGATTAGGTGTGGTTCTAGACGGACCAGATCTTACCTCTGGCGAATGATGCCAATCCATGCTACAAATCTCATGCGCCCGGGGCCTGTAAGTTGCATGAAGCCCTCTATTCATCAATGGCCCCTTCTGAACTTCCAGGAAATATGAGTTGCAGATGCAAACATTATGAGTGCCATGCCGGTATTCCTGCTCGCGAGCCAAATTCGCTTGTGGAGGCAGCCAACGACTTTCTTTTTTACTACACAAATTTTGCTCCAAGATTAGGTGAGTATATGAGATAAATTCTTTGCTATTATCAAAAACGTTCAAATACCCCTCTCTTACGTATTCCTTCATTATAGGCTTCTTTAAGGACTCTTTTCTGGCAAATCTTTGTCCTTCTGTAACATCCCATTTTGCTTTCGTTTAGCGATCTGTTGTTTTTCTTTCGCCCTCTCAGCTACAGCTTGAGACCGAGCCCTGTGTTCAGTCCTGTTCTGCTCAATTGTTCTTTTCTCAGTATTCTAAACACATCCATATTAGCAGATTGCAGCGAGAGGTCAGCCAACGCCAGGAAGAGGAAAACCTTACGCTGGGCATGTCTTGTACTAGGACTAAGGCAGGCTCAGTGGTATTTGCTCTGAAAAGAGCTGGGGCAGCACGCACGATGTTACTACCGAAAAGTACATCGAAGGGTGCATCCTTCCCAACATGAAAATATGCCCTCTCTGTCTTCTTTGCTCGTTCTCTTCGCCAAGTAAGTTTGACACATCTATCGGATTCAATTCGGCCCCCTCCAAAATCCGTGCAACAAATAGGATTTCCCGCTTCTTCCCTTAATTGATATTCCGTCACGATTGCTTCGGATATCCAGTTCTCTTCAGTCCCCGAATCAATAATCGCCACTATTCCGAACCATTCATCCTTTCTAGGGGAATGCAGGTTGACGTTCATCTGGTTCAGAACCTCTCCCTCAGAAGATATTGCGACTAATTCCATAGACCGTGACTCACGGTTGTTAGTTCATCACAGCTCGGATTGCAATTGAAAAGACTCACAATTTCTTCCGCTGGATTGATAATACCAGTTAGTCGACTCCTTGGTTCTCCCAGCTGCTCGATATTAAGTGCGGCCCGCTCCTCAGAGCTATTCAGGGTTTTAGGTTTCGCATTCGTTGCATTCTCCAGTTTTTGATGCTTCCGCTGGCGCTTATTTACCAGCCATTGATGATGACGGAGATTAGTCGGAGTCCCATCGAACTGAAATGCGAGTTTTCGTTGTCGAATTCGGTTGAGTTCCATCTCCTCCCATTCCCGTTCTTCATCGGCGGTCAATGGACCGTCATTCTCATCATCTGACATTCTGTACTCTGGATAGCTTCAAGGTATAATCGAAAAATGATTTAGGAGCGACAAGAGAAGTGGTCATGAAGAGGAGGCTGAAGCTTTGCGAAAACGACTCAAGATAACATAGATTATGACCTTTCACATCATTCTGTTTGAACAGACTTGGGCACGATATAAACGTTTCGATATCGGGGGATTCCACGATAATTATCGTATCGTAAATATATGGACGATACGATATCGGCTTTTTCACGATATCCGATACAATATCGGTTATCGCTACACGTGACGTGGAAAAACCGTAAATCCGGCTCCGGACCAATTAGAACGCTTTATTACTAGAACTCCTTAGGCCTTAACAACACCACCACTAACATTAAATGCTACCACTTAATTCTATACCGACTATCTAGCTTCGGAGTATATAAAAAGTAACTTTTATTCGAAACTACTAAATCTTCTAATTGGTCGAAGAGTTATTACGTAATCACAAAACAGCAAAACCCTACTACTATATAAGGATTACTTTTTATATACCCTGAAGCTAACTAGTAGCCGCCCTTAGAACAAGTATAATTTATTGAAGCTTTTTTTTATCTCTTTACTCCTTTAATAATCGTATTCCTACCCTAGATTTACTCTAAAACCCTCCCTAAAATAGCTAAAATAGGCCTAAAATATACTAATTTTAGGTATAAAATATCGATATCGTCACTTTTGAGACGATAAATTATCGGTATCGTGGGAATATATATCGGCGATATATCGCGGTAAATATCGCGATAATCCGATAAATATCGTCATCGTGCCCAAGTCTGTGTTTGAAGTGTGCAGGCAAGATGCGTTGAAAAAACGGAAATCGATGAGGGGAAGAAAGATAAGATGGAATTGGGAGATGCATCGCGATTCAAAATTGGCGAATCAACAGACGCTTCTCATTTAGCCAGCTGACCTTTGCCATGGTTCTCCTGGGAGAATATTCCGTCTGCTCCCGAGATTTTGAAGCGGTGGGTGTGTATTGGCTTTTGTACTGCCACGTCTCGCGAGGAAGACAAGGCTGCAGAAAGCCTCAGAGCACTTAACACAATCTGAACCGACTTGGGGTTGTACAAGCGAACAAGGCAAACAAGGCGACTCCGGCAGTTGATTAGCAACATATGACAGCCTTATCAATTTCTACACCACACCCTTCTCTTAAAGATCAAGTTTCTCCCCGAACACTTTTCTAGGCCTGAAGTTGCTTCAATACTATCCATGTAAAAAATGGAGAGAGATGGTCATGCGAAGGTTGCGGGCTTGATAAGTCGCTATCCTGAACTCGCCATCATGCGAAGATTTGGCGATCTCAATATGGAAAACGTGCTGTACCTTCAAGCTGAGTTAGTTCATTTGGAGTCTGAGTACAGAACACTCGCCACAGATGGCCAAGGGCACCCGGACCGTCTTGTTTCTGCCAAAGATTGGGCCTCTCTAGCTTATTCCGAAGACAACCATGATTTGGCACAATGGGAAAAGATGCTAGAAATAAGACAGAAGCTGAAGGAATACAGTATGACTTCTCAACTGCTATGAAGGACAAAGTTCTAAGGTCCAAAGCTGATATTCAAAGCAGACGAAGCTTTTGGACAGGTTGTTTTTATGACATCAATGAAGAGCCCAAACCCATATGACCTACAGTTCTTTCGAACTTGGTTAGAACGACCAAAAATGGGAAACTTCCCAATCCTAGGCCCGGACCAATACGTATGGGACGTAGGCAACGAAGCGGACCTCGTTGCGATACAGAGGCGGAAAGGGGAGGATTTTCTCACAAGATGGTTCATAGATAAAGTTATTCCAAGCTTCCACAGATGTCTTGGAAAGTATATCGAGGTATTCAAGAGTTAGATTTCTTGTATATTGATGCAACCTTTGACAGCTGAATAGGCCCTAATTCCAGAGGAGCCCGAGTCCGAAATATCGCATTATTCCGATTCCCATTTGGCCAGATTTGTTCATGTATTTAGTGTCGTATTATCATCTTTACTGCCTATAAGCTCGATTGTTATTTTGTATTTTGTCTCAAGTCTGCTTGCAAGGCTCGGAATTATTGCGACGTTCACAGCTTTGTTTTCGCTTTCTCTGGCGATCGTCACACAAGCGAGACGAATTGAGATTTTTGCAGGCACATCTGCGTAAGTTTGGAGACCATTTAAACAACACATAACAATTCTAACCAGAATTTTAGGTTTGCCGCAGTTCAGGTTGTGTTCGTGACTGCAAATACCAACAGCATGACTTGAATACAAATATGCGCACCATTGTTTGGTTAAATCCATGACGAAAAAATGAAACAGGATGCTCTAAAGTTTCCGAGAGCTACTGTAGTGCACTGTGTGAATAAAAATGGCCCATTTCCGAGTTCATCAGGGGCTTCGCGCTAAGCGAAACGCATGCAGTTTAGGTACTGTAGGGGTTGATCCCAAGCAATCAACTTTCCTTTTATAACGACGATAGCTCTATGGTCGATCCTGGTAGATTCGTAGAGCTAACTACTCAAATGTCGCGCTGTTATGTTCAGCTCATCCTCTAGAGAGCGTATTTTCATAATTTCATTTTACAAAACCCCTCTCGGCAGAGTAAAGAATCTTTTTGTTACATCTAAGGGAAAAAGTTCCCAGCCAAAGAAGTTTGTTTCTCATCCTTCTTTCTATTCATGACGATAACATAGGGACCGCTTCCGAGCCTAATGCTAGAATCGAAAGGAACGCCAAAATCAACTCCTCTTTACACGATCGATCCCTCTTTGCAGAAAAAAACGAATAAGCACGATTAAAGTTTTTGTATACTCCGCAGTCTAATTCAATGGAAAGCCATTTAGAAATTTATAAAGCAAGGGAGTTGGTAGACTGCATCTCTAGCCGAAAATAGCAACACAGACTAGTCAATGTACAATTACCAATCAGCACATTTAGCGAGCTCTTTTTCGTGCCGTTCTCCTCAAATTGGCGTGAATTGATGGATAATTATGTAAAAAACTTGTTGATAGTGAATTTCTCTGAAGATTTGAGATTATCACTTGCGGAGTAAGCGTGCATATCTACCTTCGTACCTACCTACATTCGTAGTGGCGCTGCGGGGGAGGAGAGCAAGCCAATTGGTACGCCAGTAATGCAGCCCCACACAAAACAAGCGATGACGGTGCACGAACACGAAACCCCTGCTTATCTTGTCTACAGTACTTACCATACTGTTGTACTCGGAGTACTTTTAGAGAAAAGTGACATAAGAACTCGAAACGACCTACTTTCTTCCACGCCAACACCTTGGAGTCCGCGCCGATTCTTTAGTCCCCTCCTAGTACGTATAATAATCAGACCTCTTCATCTGAACTCTTTAGAGATTAATCTACCTCCAACCTAAACAAAACCACGAGTTTTAAACTCAACCACAATAATGAACCTACAATATTTTTTCCAAACAACGATTTTTCGACATACAATGTCGTTCGGCTTATCTTTTGCCATCGACAGAAACTCAACGTTCATGAATACCGAGTCATCTCCATTCGCATTCCCAACTTCCGTCTCTAGTGTACTTCCAAGCTGTACTGCAACTTCAATTCCATTTCCAATGAAACGCACAGTTTTCCAAATCTTTTCGGCATATATGTGGTCTATATTCCCTATTTTGCTGGATGTTGAGCATTTCATGGTGGTTGCATTCATATTACATGTTATTTGTACGTGAACTCGCCTCTTTATCCCATTAATATATGTATATCCCCGACGAACATTTGCTGATTGTCTGTCATTGTGGCAGTTATACTGCTTGTCGCAGGGTTCATAATATACTGTTTGATGGGGAAGAGTCTCAGGGATCAATTTGGCATAGAATCATAGTATATAACGAGGCTTCACGATCTACGGATGGCCGTTTGAGAAGGGAGGTAATATATTGTAGAAACATAAAATTTAGAGGCCAAACTATTTCCAGTAAAACATCACCGAACAATGACATGAACCAATCTTGTGAAAGAGTAGCCACTTTGGCCAAATAGCATTAGGGTCACAAGGTTTCAGAGTCAAAGTTATGACCGAGGTAGAAGGAATTGTTAATTTGACCGGCTTGCAAATTGTAATATCCCTGTATTAGGGGGTGTTTAGCTACGCAAATCTCTCTATTCAAAACAGGTGCAAAAGTCTAAGATTTACACGGGCTGGAGGACCCTAAGGGCTTATACAAAAGTTTCCTAAATTACATGCAAATTAGACTATTCTCAAGAAACAAATGTACTACTGTTTAGCTGTTACAAAAGTTTTTTATTTCAGGTGCAAATCTTATATATCTATATCCCCCGCCCACCCCCGCCCATCCCTTATATTATTACTCCCGTAGGCCTATAGTATCCCTCCTACAATTTCACATTACCCCCCCTACCCCCCTCTCCCTAGCCGCTCTTTTTGCTCCTACGCTTTATGACTATAAATTAGCCGAGTTTTGCTTTGTGTTAGTAAAGGGGGATGTTATAGGGGGAATACTGTCGGAGGGATACTGTAAGGGGAATACTGTAAGGGGAATACTGTAGGGGACACTATAGGAGAATAGAAAGATTTATATAGAGATTTGTACAAAAAAAAAAAAAGAGCTAACGGGATAAGGCTTCAGTTCTTTTATAAAGTCTTTTTAGTAGTGCAAATCTAAAAAGATTTGTAATTAGATTTATAACGGATTTATAATTATTTTAGTAAAAACTTTCGCGGCTATCTGAATAAGCGTACAAATTAAGAATTGCATGTAAATCTTAATTAAAAACACATAACTTATATGTAATTCTTTTTATATAGTGCAAATCTCTAAATTGCACAAGCCAAACACCCCCTTAATATCTACTTGTCTCCAACTAAAGAATCCAATGTTTCAACTACTTGATATCTTTAAAGCGAATTTTGACAATTTATCATCGACAGCTGCCCTGTAGACAATACTATTATAGGATCCAACAGTCATAGGCTCTGGATTATAAGAGTTAATACTACCTAATATAAAGTTCTCTACTTTAGGTTCCTATAACTAAGAAGAAGAAGGCATAGTAACACCAATTCGCGACGCACATAACGATAGCATATTGCTGATGCACGCCCCAAATATGGACGCGCATCTCCGTAAACTAAATATGAGCCTCGATGATTACAACACTCTTTCTTCAACGCCTTCGCGAGTACCTGGATAAAAGTTTCGAGTTTTTGGACGGCATTGAGTACTTGAGAGAAGCCAGAGTGGTCTAGAAAAATGGTTATGAGAGATCAAAGGTAAGATGATTGGAAATCAACAGGTGGCATTGAATAGACTGAAGCAATGTGTGGCCGTTGGAAACCTCCACGGGAGCTTCTGCGCACGACCACGATCACGTCCCCCGCAATAAAGGTGAAAAAAAACTTCAATGTATGGAGAGAGTGCGGTGTTACCTTCCATTCTTGAGTGCTCAAGTTTTGACGTTGTGGGGCATGAACAAGAAGACGACCTCAAGGCTGCAGGAGCGAACTAAGACTTCAACCAATCTCAATCTCTGTGCTGCATTGCATTGGTTAGTTTGACGAATGCAACTACTAAAATAATAGCAATAGAACGGATTTTCACAAGAACAAAACATACGACAACGCTCTACTTCGCGATCTCGATAGGTCCAGCAGGCGTGACTTCCACTTTCTGATACACTCAGGAAATGCCTTGAGATGGTGGTTAGCTTACTGATCTGACCACGACAGAGAATTAAAATGCTGACTGTGCCGATACTTACAGTTCCAGAAGATCCTGTTTGCATATCCTCCATGCCACCACCATCGCCTACGATACCTGCCACATATGTCTCGCAAGTCGCACAAGTAAGAACAAGTTCGCTGGAACCAGCTTGGATGTTTCTTGGGGCATTTTGTAAGATGGGTTTGTGTTAAGGAACTTGACAGAAGACAAGTACTCCCAAAACTTTAAACTTCTGAAACGTTTTTTGCAATGCTTTACTATATCGGTTAGGCACAGGGGCCAAATGAAATTTGGCGAGCTCACTGGAATCCCAAATATTTCTATGCGATGCTGCGATGGAAGTACCTATTCTGGCCTTGTTTTACTAATTTCAAGATTGGTAGACACATCATCACCACTTACAATGAGGGTACAAACGCGATTGGAATTCTTAAAGCTTTTTTGGTATAGCTGCACGCTTTCAGAAAAGAAAAAAAGATGCTTGATTTTGGGCATTCGAGTTTCGCGTTTCGGCGGAAATAATAGAAATATTGGGAACTAGAAAACCCTTCACTTTTGGGCTGCAAAAGGCCCATTTGAATTTGGAAGCCTCATTTAGAAAGGCAGTTGTCAAAATTTCATTATTCATCCTTATAATTGCGAGATAGTGGAGGGCCGAGTGAAACATGGTTCTATGAACTCAACACTTCCTGTTTTGATGAACACCACCAAAGGATTAATCTATGCTAGCTTTCTCTTTGGCATTTTTCATGGCCATCAGCCAATAGACGAATTTCGAACGATTTGAGAGCCTAAGAACTTCCTGAAAATGAGTGAACAACGATTAACAAATCAGGACTCTTAGCGGCTGTTTACTTTGGCAGAATTGCTAACTGGCAGGCTCAAATCATTTTATTACCGTTGTGAATTTAAATTCATCAGGAGAAGAATCCTTTGACACAAACTCTTTTCGTAAAACGAAACCCAATCCCAGTATAAAAGACACCGCTGAGTCTATCTTAAAAGCTTTGAAGGTCACGTGACGACTTGAAACCTGAGCTCCTTTCGCGTAATGGAAAGTTATATTATAATGTTTAGATAGTCTCTTTCTAAAACCAACATAATAATAGGTATACTTGTATAAACACCGATGTCTTAATCTCCTATAAATTGCACCAAGTCGGGCTCACCTGCCAATTCCCAGTAAAAACCTAACCTTTGATCAATTTCACCCTATAATTCCATCGCTATTTTCCCCTGATTGGAAAAAGACCCCTACAACTTTTAAACCCCGTCTAACATGCAGTAGATGAACTAGTTGTAACAGTTATATGTAAAGGAAAGGAGGAAGACGAGACCCAAACAGCCCCACCCAACCGGCGCGAACCAAATTTGAGCGGGGAACTCCTAGGTAATCCAAGGAACCATACGATTAAAATATTGGTTTGGCAGGAGAAATGCCCGGCAGTGAAGTGCCTCGCAATAATGTTGTGAAATTTCGCAATATACGTGAACTGTTCGGTGTGAATGACACCTTCCCCAAACAAGGGCTAAAGCCTCCTTTTGAAAGCTGGCCTCGCTTGCCCCGATTAACGAGAAAATACGAGTATCCCGGTCAAGATCTAGAAGACATTAAAGTTGTGTAATATCCTGGAACAAGTAGAAATTTGAAATAATATTGTTATTTCCCCTTGTGGCATTCTATCGACTGAAAGAGAACTTTTGTTTTGAATTACCCGCACCTTGGTACCTTTTAAAAAGTTGAGGGGCTATATTTCGCTATCGTGGATAATCGCCACGAATGATCGTGGATGTTAGAGTGTTTTGGAGAAGCTAAAAATCAGAATCAATACGAGAAATCTGAGAGCCGCTCTGATTGGTTGTACCAGAACACAAAATTGGGGATTGATGCTGTTGTTTTTACCAGGATGAATGGAAACTCTTGGTTCCATGAGTGGATATTGCGGGGAACCAACTGCCGGTGTAACTGTACTCCACTACTTCATACATCGTTTAGTCTCCTCTCCCACGAAGATTGGCCACCACACGCAACATTCCATGGTTAAGATCCTTCCATTTTGGATGCGGCATTCATTCCAGATCATCCTTTTCGATCTCAAATGCCAAGAAAAGTTATCTGCTAGTGAGCTACAACGTTCACTATCGGCTAGATACCTATGACAGGCAAAACGTAGCAGGAGTTTTGCAAGACCTCGAAACTGGTCTCGAGGATGGAGAAAGAGTTCGATTCGAGTAGGGTCGCTGCAGAAGAAATGTAAATAGAGTAAATATTAAGCATTTTTCACAAGCTCCCCTCCTGTTCCGCCCGCCAATTACACTTCATATATTTCCAATACTCATGCAACTGAATAGAAATCATGGGCCCAGATTAGGAAGCTCACACCAGTTCTGTTCCTGCACATGCAAATAAACAGATAAGAATTAAGATGTGTCAAGTGAAATGCTGCGAAGTGTGATAGCAAGGAACGCAATGCGTGGGTAGTACGTGCCAAGCAAAAAGGCCTGCCAATGGTGTATGAGTGGCTAAATCAACTCCGGGTGTGGGTAAAATTGGATGTTTAGCAAGAATTGTGGTTGAGATCCAGCATTTCTTGGTTAGGAAGGTGGGTCAGTACTCGTGCATGTCAAGCGAACTCTGAAGGCCCGAAGTTGCTTTGGGAAGGAATGCAGAGTTGGAAAATGAGTACAAGGAGTGTAGATGATAAATAGAAGTTAACTCCCTTCTTCAAGGTGTTATCAATCCCAACCCTTTCCAAACGGAATCCTCGATCAAGCATTTTTTATTCACTGGTCTCCATCATGGTTCGATTCTTGTGTAACGCGGTTCTAGCCGCCTCGCTTATGGGTGGAGTCTTTGCTCACCCAGGTCAAGATATCCAGGAAGAAATGATTGAGCGTAACGCCTATGCGGCATCGCCCGATTATCAAAATTTGGATCACTGCGCTGCCGAAATCAAAGAGAGAGATCATGAGTTGGTTGCACGTCGTATGGCAATGGTCGACGAATTGCGCCAGAAGCGAGGAATAAAGGTCAAGAGAACCTTCGCTGAGGTGTTGGCTAAGAACCATCAATCCACAAAAAAGGTTACTGCAGATAGCCCATACTCAACTATCTTTGGGTCTAACAACTCTTGCATTCTTCAAGCAGAGACTACTGAAGGTCCTTACTGTAAGTCTGCATCATAAATCTTGAAGCTTGTATTGACTAATTTCTTTAGATGTAACCGGGGAATTTGTCAGAAAAGACATCACTGATGGTCAAAGAGGTGTGCCATTGACATACGACATTCAGGCATGTGTTCGGCTCAAGTACTAGTGACGACAGTAGCTAACCGTGCTGTTCCTGAAATAGATCATTGACACAACCACCTGCAAACCCCTTGCAAATGTTGCTCTTGAGCACTGGTCCTGTAACTCTACCGTAAGCACTTCGTCAACCACTCTCTTATGCCATAGCTTCTAACCAAGAATAGGGCGTTTACGGTGGTGTTGTTAACCCGAGCAACGGAAACCCTAGAGATAGCAGCAACTTGAGGAATACCATGCTTCGAGGGACTCAATTTACAGACAGCTCTGGAATCCTACAAATGGAATCCATATTCCCAGGTCACTACAATGGTCGTGCCACGCACATTCACAGTAAGTACTCCCCACATTCACAACCACTCCAAGTACCAAGAGAAGGTCAATCTAACTGAATCCTAGTTCTTGCACACGTTGGAGCGACCACCGCGGCAAACGGGACGCTCACTGGAGGACACATCTCCCATGTTGGCCAACTCTTCTTCGATCAATCCCTCATCACGAAAGTCGAAGCTACATCTCCTTATACCACCAACAGACAGTCTTTGCTAACAAACAGAAATGATGGAATATTTGCAGATGAGGCAGCGAGGAGCGACCCAGTGATGAATTATGTGTTGCTCGGTAACTCTGTTTCTCAAGGCATTTTCGGTTGGGCCACAGTCGGGATTAACTCCAGGACCTCAAAGACTGTTGTACCAGCTGGGCATTATGATGGATGATTCCTTTTCTAGGCGTGATGGCGTGGAACATTCACAGCAGGTAGAATTTAGGATAAGAGATGGGACGTTTCTTTTGTGGCTTACTGGAATTGCAAGGATACTGTTGAGAAGTCGATGTGTTTGTGTTGAGTTGCAATGAAATCTGAATAAGAACTATCGTGACAGAAATTAGTCGTTTTGTCTTCAAGGAGAGGCAGTCTTGGATACTTGAGTTATTGCCATAAGAAAACTTTTGTTGACCTCGTACATTCTTGTTATCAAACAAAGCCCCAAATTATGCGATCATGAAAGATGCATAGACAACAAACTAGTGTTGCCATTAGATCAGGTGAATGATGTTGTGAAGGCTCAGCAAGAGTTGCATCACTTGCGCGTCATCCTCTTATAGTCCCCAGCCTGTGGCGGATTTAACCATTCACGAGATGTTAGTCTCGCCTTCAACTTCTCTAAAAGTAATAAAATCGTGCATCCCCACCTTCGTCACTACCACATCGCGGCAGTTGCAAGCCATCGAGTACGACCAAGTTTTGGGAGAGCGATCAATCTAAAACAAACATCAAAAGGTCAAGACAACCAACACTCTCCACACTTCCGCTCCTGTAGCATCAGGAGTCAATCCAAACTACACATTGTCTACCTGCCGTTTTTTCCGATCATACGATTCGTAGATACAAGCCCTCAATGCATCGAGCTCTTGGACTCACCGAAATTGTGGCAACCATCGTCGAGACCGGGAGTGCATCTCTCGATTTCCTGCGTTCTTGTCTCCTCATTAACAAATTCTTCTCACACGAGGCTGCTAGGTTAATATGGAAGGAATGTGGCTTGGGAAAATCGTATATCAGTCCACAGATTGGCCGTCTCGTCAGGACTCTATCGGAGAACGCCCAGAGAGCACAGTACTACGCCAATTTCGTCCAGACCCTCTGCATTTTCCAGAGAAAAAGAAACATTTGGCATGAATATTTGGCCTCTTTGGAGTTCCCTCGACTGAAGAATTTCCATCGCCAGGACACGGAGATGACCGGACCACCTATCGACCTTAAAGATCTAGCCCTTCCTTACCCCCAGAGAGGCCTTGAGGCGTTGTCAATTTATAGATCGTCGGTTTTAATTATCTCTGATTGCTCTCTAGAGATACTATCAAGTCATACTTCGCCAAAACTAAAGAAGCTAAACCTGTTCCGAATGCAGCATAGAACCGTGTCTAAAGATGGACTTGTCCGTTTTCTTACCAATACCAACCCTCTTGTGGAACTTGATATTAGTTGCCTTGACAAGTGTTGGTCGCGAAAAGCATTTCAGCGCATACTTCTGAGATTTTGCAATTTGGTGTACCTTTCGCTTCCAGATATTCCTGATGATTGGATTCTTTCGCCCAGCAAAAACGATACCAATGTCCCACCTGCATTTCCAAATTTGAGAACCTTACGCGTCGGAGTAAATGAACAAGGCTTGGAGCTTTTAGCTCGCAATGCACCAGCCTTGGAGACTCTTGAACTATCTTCACAAGACCTTCCTCCCTCTCGCCACATCCTTCTGGCGGCAGCGGGATTTACGAAATTGAGAAGGCTTATAATCAGCTTCGGTCAAAGCTCCAGAATCTATGGAGAGGATCTTCTTCTGCTATCTCAAGAATGTCCTTGCCTTACTTGCCTTAGTATTCAGTCCAACAAAGGTTTTCACCCTAAAGGGTTGGACATTTCCGACAATCTCATTGAGGAAGTAGCTCAGAATTTGACAGAACTCATCACGTTGACCATCTGCATTGATTCTCCGAGTCCACTCACCCAACGAGCTGTCTATTCGGTGATTAGGCACTGCAAGGATATTAGTTATCTACACATGTCCTGCGATTTTAATTGGCGAGAGACTGTCGATGGGGTCCCAGAATTTACGTCTGCTAAAATGCTTAGCATGACCCTTCTTCTTAACGAGAACGGTCCATTAGCAGATGCCAACGAAGAATTAGCGAATCGGCTCAGGAAGCGTCTTGTTCTATTGACGCCTGCAATGAAGTATTTATATTTACAGAGTAGAAATCGGTTTTGGGCGATAGAATTTGATCCGCCTAGTAGCCGCATCCGGGACGACTATTAGAATAAAGGTGTTCAACAGTGGAGCCGTAACAAGCTCTAATATCTTTTTATTCACTTTTGAATCAAGCCCTGTGTACTCTCTTACAGAAATGTGCTGTTTGTGACACTGCCATGAAACTCTGATCGGTGAAGCCATAAGCCTAAGTCTCGTAGTCTCACCTAGCGTCAATTTAACTCCTCTCCCAAAGAGACTAATAACTTCTTAATTCCGGACATTACTCACTGCATACATTCATGAACAGACTTTTGCAATCAGAACATTCCTGAGATCACTTTCCGAGATATTGCTTCTTTTTTGTCTTCTCGAGGAATTTGAACTGTTCCAGGAAAGTCCTGACAGATACCCTCAGAGACTAAGGAAGTTACAGAGTTTTAGGTTTTAACCGTAATAATCAAGATAGCATAATTGAAGCTAAAGTCCATAATAACGTTCGAGATATCACTATTGGTGATCTCTCTAAAACATTTCCAACTTTGCATTTGAGGTGCGCGATTAAGGGTTTATATTTTATAATAGCCGTAAAAATTTATTGATTTTTGTAACATACATTTACTCGAGTGTTGTATATCCTGAGATTCAAGGAAGTCATACACTTATACCACTGTTTGCATATCAAAGATTGGAAGACGGCTAACCTGGTTTTACCCTAGAATATTTTATGAGGATTCAGTATGCCACGGAATTTTCTACTATACACTGGTGGAACTTCCCCAGAGTCGCAGATGCTAAACTTTCATTACTACCGAACAGCCTAGAGCAATCCTTTCACAAACATCTTGCTATGGGTCTCTTTTATTTTCAGAGAACTGTGCTGCATTTTATTCATACGCATTTCATATTTATGTAGACCAGATCATTCCCAACGACTTCATGGCGATCTACCCCAAAGCATATCATCCTCACATCAAGAACACTAAAGAAATTGTGAGAGATCAATTTATGTACCGTAGTCAATCTTTACCTACTCTTGGGGAATATCCGGTATCCCCCTCGCAGACTCGGCTACATGAAACACTACACTCAAACACTTCCCAACACACTTCCCAACACACCTACAAAATACCACCCAACACACCACCACCACGCTTCCCATCCTGCTCCTCCTCCTCATCATTGTCACCTCCGCCACCAAGTAAACCTCCAGCACCGCCAACCACGGATCCGAGAGTTGAGGTAACAGGCTGAAGTGGAGCTGTTAAAGAATCAAGGAGTGCTCTCTTCTCTTCCTGCATTCATTGGTTAGAACTTTTAATAATTTCGTGCTTAAAGGGAGTAAGATTATCACATACCTCTGCCATAGAAGGTGCCTCCTCTCTCTTCAGAATGCCACCAAGGAGACCAGATGTAGCACCATTAACCAAATTACCGACAGTGGAGGTAACAGGTTCGAGTGGCTCAGTCAAGGAATCAAGAAGTCCTATCTTGGCTTCCTCTGGTGCAGAAGAAGGCTCTTCTCTCTTCAAAATTCCGCCAAGGAGACCCGATGTAGCGCCGTTAACCACATTGCCGACGGTCGAAGTAACCGGTTCAAGTGGTTCTGTCAAGGAGTCAAGGAGACTTCTCTTCTCTTCCTCTGTCAAAGAAGAAGCCTCTTCTCTCTTTAGAATACTACCAAGGAGTTTTGATGTAGCACCATCAAGTGTTGAGGTGACAGGTTTAAGTGGTGCAGTTAGGGAGCTTAGGAGGTCGCGAGACTCTGTTTGTGTCTATTTTACGTTAGAACTTGGGCTGTAGGAAGATAGTATAAAGATTGAGAAGGAGAGAACATACAGGACCTGGGACAGGAGCTGCGAGAACAGCAGGAATGAGCGTGGAAGAAGGGCGGATGTGAAATGCATTTTGAATAAAAAGTACAGAGGTCTAGCCTGCTAATGAAAGAAGTGAATTAAGATGGTTTGATAGAATGAGTGAGAAAGTGAGTGAGTGAATGATTGAATGAATAGAATATCAAAAAGAGCATACCACGTTGAACTCTTATACATCACAGCCATCTGAAAAAAGGATCAAGCTCGCTCACTCGAGTCAAAATCTCTCCACTCGATCAAAACACCAAAAATGAAGATCTCAATTTCATTCTGCGTCTTACGTATGCTGCTACAACTTCAGCAGTGGAGTTCTGGCATAATTTCACTTCTCCATTCGATAATGCAGTGATACCGGACCGTTGTGGATATATATGTTGCGTTGGTATAGGTTTTGGATGTGTAGATACTTCCCCAAATGGTAATTGAGTCGATCAGTGGAGTCGCGGGATTTCTCCGACGGGGTGCGAATTCTTGGGGGATAGAATTGTACGAAATACGCATACTGTACCGGTACTGTAAGATTACACACAGGCGAAGTGCAGAACTTGGAGTTACGTCATATGCGCCATTAGAGAGAACTGTTAGAGAGAGGTGTCAAGGAATGCAGGATATCGTGACCATAAGTCTTGACCACAGTGAATGGTGATACTAAGATATTGTGCAGATGAACAATCGAAAGATATGCAGTCAAAAAGACAAAGCATCAGGATCTAAATTTTGATCAGTAGTATACTGTTGATCATACTAAGCTTTGATTGACTCTTTGAATTTTTAGCCCGTGTGCTGAAGAGGCTGGAGACAACGGATTGACCCGCCCCCAGCTCGACCCTGATATTGAGCAAAACCAGCCAATAAGAGAGTCGGTTCTGTACGATATAAACTTTTGTCACATATGATTCACGTGTCAGTGTCCAGCTTTAAATATCCACCCTCTTTGTCTTGGGAGACCCCTTGGGACGCACCCAGGTCCCAGGAGTGAGTAACCTCTGTCGGGAGATCAACACAACAACTGGGCTACATCAAACTCAGTTCAACAAGTGCGGATCCAGATGGCAACTTAAAACCCATGAGTGTTGATCGCCAATGAGTGAAACCGGGTCCCATTAAAATGCTTTTGACCCCCTGCCGCCGCTCTCGGTGATTCGGTATTCCCACTATTCTACTTTAGTACTATTTTAAGTGTAATTAGGAAACGCGCGTTCATACATCATGGCATCAAGTCAGCATATGAAGCTATTCCCATCAACTCTCACTGTCGCGTCCTAACTTGCGTTGAGCGCTCGATTTATGTAGTGTGCACTTTTCCCTTCAAACATTAGACTTCTCACATATATATTACTAGGATGCGTGTCGAGGTGCCCACAAACGTCGACGGTGACAGTGGATTGTGTATAACTAGAAGCACCCATGGTGTATATTTCTATGAAGTATAAGCCACTTTGATATTTTGAGCACTCGGGGAAGCGGCGTACCCACTTCCCCTTATTTGGTTAGTCAAAAATCATTATAGGAGGACCCACATTATAGGGTGATTCAAGTGATTAACAGGAGATAAAAACAGACGATTTTCCTTGTCGCAAATCATCAATGTTTTTAGAAAATCCGGAGTTCCGAGAACGAAGAACGAGATGTGGGAACCCGATGCAAAAAGAGTTTGATGGAGGATATCAAGACCAAAGTTCAGATGAAGGGAGTCCGTGAGGGGACTTTCGAGATGTGGGGTTACCGTTTAGATACCAAGACCTCACTTCGAAAGGGGCGCTCAATCCATTGCTTCATTGTAAACATTAATCGTACATTGTTCACCACCCATTTCTTCATTAGACCTTCACACCAATTATGTCCATGGTTCCGATTTTTGTAACCTTTGATTCCTCACCACTCAAGTTTGCATCAATCCTAATCGTTAGACTCTTGCAACCCGTAAACTTGCTAGCTTTCAGTTTCAGATCTGCCACCCCATTCACATATTCATCACTAAAGATGTTGATGGCCTGAGTATTTTCTGCTTTTGACAACGATTCCATATTCAAATCATTTGTTTCCACTCCTTCGGGATCTTTCGTAATTTTCACCGGGACATTCGTACCGATTTGTATTCTCGAGGGCGCATTCGGTTGTGAGTTTTTATCGATCGTTATTTTGAGCTGGGAAGGAGTAATAGTTTGCGTAAATGGAATATGAATAAGAACTCGCGATCCAGATGCTGATGCGACCGCATAGCCTGCAGGCGGAGGGGAGGCAATATTCCGAATAGAAGACAAATTCGATACATTTACCAGACGTCCAGCACTAATATCAATCAAGCTCCTCAAGCTTCTCAAGCTTCCAGGTCCAGTATCCGCACCTTTCGACGAGCCAGCTTCTTTAGCGCCACTTGCACTCGCTGGCGGTCCTTCCTTTATCGCTGCTGCAGTGTAATATCCGATTTTGGTTCCCAGCTGCTGGACATCTGCGCCCTTGACTTCGTCCACTTTGCTGCCGTTCTTAAAAAATTGGAATGTTGGCATAGCCGTGATGCCGCAGGTTTGAGCGACATCTTTCGCTTTATCGACGTCGCATTGCGCAAAAACGATGTAGGTGGTCGAGGCATGCGATGCGGCGAGGCGTGAGAAAACGGGCGAGATCTGTTTGCATGGTCCGCACCATGTCGCGTAAAAGTCGACGATGAGGAGAGACGACTTTTTGAGAGTGTTAAACTGAGAGAGAGATCTGATTTCTTGCATGTTGACTTCGTGGGGTAGTGCTGTTGTTGCTCCTTGTCGAAGCTTCCGAAGGCTATCAGGCCACGGTAAACAGGGGTGTCGCAGGGTCGTGATTTGTCAGCAGGAATTGACCTCGTCAGTACGAGTACTTGAGCACATCTCAGCTAGAACTATCATATGACAAATCCACATATTGAAAGTTTTTATTCGTGAATTCTTAGTGTATCAATTCCCAGTTCGTATGGCCAATCCCAAATATTGGCATCACATTGGTGACATACCTATTTCATTCTATATCACACAAAACCTGTGTATAAATCAACCGACCAGTTCAGAGGTTGAAGGAACTCCGTGTCTCTATATGAAATCTCGACCTTTCGATTCATTCAGTCCACTCTCCGATTTACTCTGCATGATCATAGCTTTCTTCGATGATGCTTCTGCCGGCCTTTCCGGCTCATCTTGAAGTGTCTCCAAGGCCACCACCAGAGACACCTCTCAAGCAATCTCTGTTTTCCAATTCCTACGAATCACGAATGGGACTCTCGTCATCTTTCTCGATGCCCATGTTCCATTCCGCCCAGCATTCAAATCTCCACCCCCGATTCTCCTAACTCTCCTTAAGCTCATCCCACTGCTCCCCATCCTAATTATCTTACTCTCTTCAATTCCGTACCACCAATATAGCAGTTTCACAGCTCAAGAATCGGCTATATGATGTAAATTTCCTCCCACAAATCGTAGAATATGTATGGAGAATTTGGTGGTATGTGCCAGACTCATGGTTCATTCCCTAACGTATGAGAGATTCGGTTTCGACCAACGGTCCAACAGAGTAATAAATACAAGGATGTCTGTTTCAATATCAAGGGAGCCCAAGGAGCAGTCCCAGTGTGAGTGGTTATGGAAGGTCAATGAAGGCAGTTAGGCATAGATAACAGAAAACCAGCAGAGGAATTGTCTCCATACTTATTAACGTCCAATGTATACCTGAATCCGACGCACGTCAGCACAAATTGGGCTAGTCAAAAATAGGCAGCACGGTGGTGGAATCTCACCTACGTATCTAGTCCACCAATCCCCGCCAAGAATAAAATCTTACGTTCCTGCATTATGACTCTTTAAGGAAGCTGGGATAGCGGTAAAGTACGCTCTCACCGTGACCCCACCTATCATCCATGATTTCCAAATCGAGACTACCGCTTACTTTTTGGCCTGAAACACGAATCTTATAGGAAAAACAACATTTTAACGTAAACCAATGTCAAACGCTTCATATTGCTCAATTATCAATCAATTTGCAACCCCCAAAAACAGAAGAGGAGTGGTTCTCTATCAAGTCCACCACAACGAACAGCAAAACAGGAGAACAAATTGCAGACCCGAATTGGTCAATACATGCCCTGGTCAACTCCCCCAATGAATCCATGGTATCTTCAGTTCTGCCATATGTACAAATTCAGGTCCTCTATCTATCAACATGCATCTCAGTCAACCAATCAGCGACGATAACTTCAACGCCCTTACTCGTATTCAAAGAACGATCCCAATCCAGATCCTGATGGGAATGGGCGTGGAATCTCCTCGTAGGAAATTCTACGGTCAAATATTGCTCGAATAACGTTCATTGGGTTGGGATCATCTTGTGAGTCAGGGTATGCGACTTTGACTCCCGCCAGGTGATGAACAGCTTCCGCCCAATCAATGTCAAAAAGGTTGTCCTCATCATTCTCATATTTGTAGAAATTCTTTTGGAGATAATCGCTTAGTTCACGGCAGAAACATTGGAAAAATTGCCATTGGTAGAGTCCGTATCTGACGTCCAACCAAGTGCAAATTCGTGCCTTCATTACCAGAACGATCCCATTGTTGCCACCTTCGCGCATCTTGTTGAAGAATACTGCCCATCTCTCCTCGGTCATCATCTCAATTTCACCTGGCTTCCAAACAACATGATCCATGATGGCGAACTTGATGAAACTCTCGACCCAATTGATGTTTTCATTGGTGAGGGGCTGAAGATCTAAGGGGGCGGCCCAATCTCCACTACCGTCGTGCCAGTAGGTTGCAAGCAGGTTCGGCAAGTCCCAATCTTCGCTCATTTCTTCAACTGGGAGGCTCATATTAGCTGCTGACTGTATGAATTAGCTTACTTCTCGATGTATTGATGTATTGTAGAGGGGGGTAGAGTATTGACAGATGTGGGCGACGTCTGTGGTGGTGGTGAGGTGGAATGAGGGGGAAATCGCGCGAAAATGCTGGTCGATGATGCTCTGGACAGGCTTATCTGAATCAGAATTCACGTTAGCGCACGAATATGACGTTGGGAATAGCCCGAAGGATGCAATAATTACCTTGCGATGCTGTTGGCGGTGCTGGTGGTCGTGGTGGTGGTGGTGTTGCGAAGTGTTGAGGAGGGGGTGGTGGCGGGGTAGTAGAAACTCGAATTTCCAAAGTGGGGCCTTATCGCAGTGATTAGGGTAGGGCACAAGTATGAATAGCATATAAGTTATGCTATGCATCAAAAGAGAAAAAGTTAAAACCATAATTGAGGTCGTTTGACTTGAAAACAGCTCCAAAACGCGTTTTACTCATGTATTGTTAGCAATGAACTAGAAATGAATAGGAAATGATATCACAACAGCTAATCTTGACCAAATCCTAACAAAAGCTGAGATTTAGTATCAAATAGGAAAGCAAGGGATTGAAATTGATGTTTAGTTTATTAAATATGCTGTCTAGACCTGTTTTTGATAAACATATCAGTTGTTATTCATCGTCAATTAGCCGATCATGTGACTAAACAACAGATTTTTTTAACCTAACATTCACTACTGTATCCAAAGTAGTCTGTGCTACCAACGTAGTAATCGCGATTTTGTTCAACAAATAAAGTAGTTGAGTCTAACGTTTTAGTTCAAAGATCTAAAGTAATAGAATAGTATTAAGTAGCTTATAAATAATACTTAATTATTCGTAGTGTTTATTATTACTTGTTTCTATATATACCTTCTACTAGAACTTAGTTATCTAAACCCTTTCCTAAAATAATATTTTGAGAACGCCCCTTTATCTAGCTTCTCTTAAAGGCTTTCGATATTAGTTACGTAAGATACATAGATTAAAAGATATTTCTAAAATGTTCTATATAATATAATAATACTAAGAACCTAATCTATAATATTCGAAAGTCCGTAGTAATCATTCTTATATCTATTCCTAAAAGTTTTCCACTAGAATCTAGTTATCTAAGCAATTTCTTATGATATTATTCTTAGGAAAGTTACCTTTCTAGCTACCTTCTTAAACTTTTACTATTATTTGCGTAAGACATCTAACTTAATGGAGCTCTATAGAAGATTCTATGTAATCAAGGTATAAGAAAAGAGCACACGCCTTAAGTATAACATTTTAAAGTTTCTTATATGATTTCTATTAGAATTCTATTATTTTAACTATTTTCGGTGTTTAGTATCTCCTCTCCACTTCTCTTCTAACCCTTAGGAAAGGAGCAGGATAACTATTTAAATGGATAGAAGAAGAAAAGGAGAATATATTAGGTGAGTAGATAGAATAGGATAAGGAGAGGGTAGGTTCCGGAGGAGTAGGAAGGAGAGGCTAAAAATGAGGGTATTCGTAGGTACGCCAAGTTCCTTAAATAACGCTAGTTCACTGTTGGTCAAGGTCAAAGTACGCCAGTTCGTAAAGGAGGTTCGGGATATTTTGAGAAATGCTAACGCCCCTTGACCTAGGTGTAGGTTGAGGACGTGCATTTCTAACTAATTTCCACCAGTTTATTAAAGTACTACTACAAACCACTACTACTATATAGACCTACCAAAACCTATAATACCAAGCCATAGGAGTGCTCCTACCCTTTCCTATCGGGTACCCTGGCTAGGATAGAGAGTACTGATTAGCGAGGAATAGAAAAGGAAGGAGAACTTACAGAATTTAATAGATAGGCCTTATATAGGAGTACGGAAAGCCGAGCACGACAAAAGGAAGGATAGGAGATACTATACATTAATAATTGTCTGGTCAATCAGTACGTATAATAGAATATATAATATTATTTAATTAAAACCATCGAATAATTCGTCTGCATTACTAATAACAAAAGCTAATATTTAATTAGAGTGTGCCCCTCGCCTAGAGGTCTAGAGAGCAAATAAATATAAATAATCAAGTACTCGAAGTATAACACCGCGCAAGTCCTCTTTACCTAGTTGGCCCCAAACGAGGATATTACTAAGTCTGCTACGTTCATATTAGACAAGAAAGGGATAATAATGAATTGAGTATATATTAGTAGGTTAGTTATAACCTATATTATACCTATATTACATTCCTTATTCCACAGGTCTCACCCTACTCGTTCCATACCTTCCAGCCATAACAAAAGCATATTATAGAATGGATTAATATATTTACTACTTTAGATAAAAACCGCTAAGTGAATCTTGAAACCCCCTTCTCAACTAATCAGCACCCGATCGCAAAACGATTCTCCAAGTGAAGGATGAAGTTGCTTGAATGGGCGTGGATGGGGTAGGTTGGCTCTTAAATGAGGCGGTAGAAGAGTTGGAGTCTTAGACAAGAGTGAGGCGTTTGTGTATGAGGTAGGTTGGCTCTCCTACGAGAGTTAGTAAGATACTAACAACCAAATTTACGTATAGATTTAGGTATCGTTCTACCGTATCTCCCTGCAAGAGTGGATATGGTTCTAGCCGAATGTGGAAGTCACGTTTAGGAATCTAGTACTGCTAGACATTTCCTTTTTATACTACATTTACATACAATATAGCAATCTAATTAAGTAATTCTTTCTCTGTTCCTGTGCCTGTCGCATTCGAGTAATTAGCTCCGCATTCGCTAAATTCCACGCCCCCTGCTCCTCTAGGTTTTCCCTTCCTATTATAGCATATTTAGATCCTTTTAGACTAAATATAGTATGACTTTTAGTTTGTTTTAGTAATAAATTAGTATCAATATAGCCGAGCTAGGTGTTTGTAGCCAGGAATTAGTAGAAACCTCGCCTAGAGGAACCCTTAGAGTCTATATATATAGGATTATAGCTTACAACATAGTTATAGTAGTTAAATGGGCTAGGATTCAATGAATTTAGCATTTGTTTACAAAATAACCCATGCCTCCCCATTTTTCAATGTGACACGTGACTTCCACATTCGGCTAGATCCATATCCACTCTCGCAGGGAGATACCGTAGGAGTAAGTAGGGTATAGATTTGGGCATAAGATAATGAGCCGTATATAGGAAACCCCGACTCAAAGCCAATGGTTCCCACAGGATTAAAAGCACTACTACCATAATCTAATTCCTTGAATCTATGGTGCTGCGGTTATAATAGTCTAATTAACCAAGAGCTGGATTTTAGGGTTACCATAGCACAGAAATAGGCCGCATTTCTAAGTGTTTGAATTTTGATTTGACCTAGTTATTATATACAATTATATCTACTTATGTGTGCTTTCAAGCTTAGGTAAATTTTATAATTATATTGTCTGGAAGGGATAGTTAGATATTCATTGTAAGTTATAGGTATTATTTATGTATGAAACTTAATAAGGAGAGATTGTACTGAAGCGGTGAAATAACCAGCTGATAAGGGGTAAGTTATAATAATTCGCTACTTTTGATTTATAATGTTTCTCATATAGTATTTACAATGTCCTAACCTTGTAGCATAATGGAGTTAAGAGATAAGTGCTCTTTTCATTTACGTAACAACTTTATGGAGAATATTCGCGTAATATGTATACTTTGTATCAGAACTCCAACAGAGGTTAAGGAATATATACGAGGCAAGAGGGTCGGAAGACTTAGCTTGTTCCCTCTAAGTACAACTTCTAGCTTTTCTTGAACCGGTGTTCGTGTGACGACACGTACGATGTGTTGCTCAAGGAGCCTCCGAGGTGTAGGTTATGGAATCGTAGAACTGTCTATTCGAAGATTCTAAGCTCAGGAGAAGAGGAGAGCTCGAGAGAGCTTGAGTCTAAATACAATGTGGCTCGCTAAGGAAGGCACGTGATATGAATGGCACGTGACGGTCAGAACCGTCACAGTTCGATAGAATAGTATACATGGTACAGAAAATTAATATGTAATGGTATAGGTGTTATTGTATAATTTAGATAGACCGAGACTCCCCTCTAACAGTGGGATAAACACCCCGATTTGTCTTTCGAGAGTTGTTTTTGTAATTCCTGTCACGGATGCCAACAAAGGATAAAGTGTATACAGCTTTTGAATCAATTGCTAGAACTAAAACCGTAGGTACGAAGAAATCAAACTAAAGAGAGAAGAGAATCTGAAAGGAGCGAAGTTATTTAAGTTGTTCCAATGCCAAGTCTCGTCACGTGCTTGGCCAAGCGAATGAAATCCTGTCAAATGAAATCCAGCTCCGTCACAATTCCGAGCGTCTACACTCCTTATTGGAGTACGGGCGTATAAACCTTTTACATCCGGGCGTCAATAGTCTAGTAATCCTGGGTGTACATAAAACAGATTTACAAAGGTCAAAGGGCTTTGGTTCATGTACCATAAACCCAAATCATAGCGTTGTCAGATCTCTCCACACTTCTTTATCTCCTACGCGAAGATATTCTGGACTATGGTTGAGAACCCTCGCTTAAGGCATGAGCAATGTCATTAATTCTCTAATAGATTTAGGTATAACGTCCCGTATTTGAGTACTGTTTGTATTGTACTTAGTCCCACGTATAATAATGGCTGAGTTTACGGGGCTCTTACTCTGGACTTCGCCGAACAACCGTCGTAAACCCAAATTTTATTTCGCATGTGGTAAAGCAAGAGGGTTAGAACCTTAGCGTAAAATCACTTTCCTAATTTCACCTAGGGTGGTACGTCCTTGATCAACACTGAAAATCCCCCAAAGGTGAAGGAGATAGTATACTTCGAGGTACAATTTTACGACTTAAATACACTGATGGCAGGGAACAACACCCCTTCACTGCCTTTCACCCTGCGAACCGCACTCTCTCCATTGCGACGTCCTCATCTTGCCTAATCTTCCCTTGGTCTTGTATAATTGAAGGCATATTTGAAGTCAATGTTTACGGGATATAATTAGAACACAGGATTCTTATTGATGCTTTTCTCTCAAGCTGCAGCATGCCTGGCTCGGGCGCATGTAGCTAGCTATCTCGTTTCTCCTTCTGCGGAGACAGACATAATTAGAAATGTCGTTTAATAAAACAAGTGCCTTGAATAGCCTCTCTTTGATGGCTTCTTTCCCTACATAAGACTACGTATAAACTATGAGCTAGCCAACTCATTCCTCTTTCAGACTGTTACCTAGTAGGCTACATGAATTAAGCTGTATCTGTCTGCATCCGAAAGATGATTAGAATCAATCACCTAGAAGGGGGAGAGAATGGGAAGAGAGTGCCAGTTGTGTAGGAAAAGGTCTTATAGTAAGTAAATGTACTTACTCATAGAAGCAGGAATGATAGAGGAACCGAGACCTTCAGATGGGGACTTACAGGTAAGATTATAGGTAAGACTAATTGAGTGCTTTTAGGTATCTTAGAGACACAGGAACGTGGGTAGGGACTTGTAGAGGGCAGGGGTGTAAAATAGAGGAAGGGAAAGCGAGGGAAGGGCAGTAATATATAGGCTGTATGCTCGGTTAGATTTAAGCAGTAGTGAAAGTTGGTCCTAGATATACGTAGTTAAGAGAAATAGACGTTCAAAATCCCTGGTTCGGGGCTACTAATTAATTCACTTATAGGTGTACTTGTTCTATGTGTTCCCGCGCTCCAAGTTACTAAAAGTCACTAATGAGTCATCATAGGCCTTTGGATGTACGGATACTACATATCTAGGGATTCGTGTTTACTCGGAAATTAGGTTCCCTAGAAGTATAGGTTTCTGAAATATAGTAATACGAACGTCTTGAGACTACCGAAGTTTGTTTTCCTTATGGACCTAGATCTTTGTAGAAAGTTCCTTTATTTATTCTAACTTAAAACTTTTTGTAGAACGAGGAGGCGTGAAAACACAATAACCGATTATCTTCTTACTTCAAGATATACATCATCGCCAAACCTGGGCGCTGAAGACGTTGCTTACCGGGCTATTGCGATATAGCTTACTCGTGCTAACTTGCAAGAGATGACAATACCCAATTTTTATAGGTGGAGTTACAGTATCAGTTTTTCAAGGGCCTTGGCCCTGGAAAGGTTCATAGTTGCCGTAAATACTCAGGACGCGTTATTTATCAGGGGATCAGACAACATGAACTAGATTGACTGATAATCAGGGACCCCAGATCTAACCTCACCCTTCTACCTAGCAACTACTCATCCAGGCATGGACAGCAGAAGTATTGTATCCCACATCAAGATATTCAGCTCGTCCGTCGCCTGTCAAATCCGCAAATTGCACTCCCCGCCCATTTGTTCCAACACCAGCCGCAATGGAACCATGAGGCAGCCATCCGACCTTTGCCCCGTTATCTGATTCACCACCATTCAACCACAATCTTACGCTCCCATCGGTCCTCGAAACAGCTAGGTAATCAGCCTTTTGGTCACCATTCATATCCGCAAAGACAACATTGTCTCGCCCCATCCCAGGAACCCCAACCGCAATAACCCCTTGTGCCAACCAAGAAACAATCGCTGAATTGGCCACTCCACCCGGAGAGCCTTCGTTGAGCCATACCACAACAGAGATATTGGAGTTGACATAAATATATTCAGCACGGCCATCACCATTCAAATCAGCAAATCTCACACCCGCTCCATCGTTACCGAACCCCACCGCTATCGTCTGTTTCTTGTGCCAGGTGACCTTTCCTGCCTTTAAGCCCATATTAAGCCAGCAATCAACACTTCCATTATTATGAACCCAAAGATAATCAGCCCGTCCATCTCCGTTGATGTCAGCGAGGTGTATATTGCCGCGGTCCCCACCAACTGCAGTGGCGATTTGGCCTTGAGGAAGCCATGAAATGTTGTTTCCCTCCCCGACGTTGAGGAAAGCCGCGACAGCTCCTGTCTTATTAATATACAAATAATCCGCTCTGCCATCTCCGTCAATGTCTGCAAAGTGGACTGCCGTAGTCGTCGGTGATTTGAGCATCAGGATACCGCATTTTTGGGTGGAATTCAGGAGGACTGGTGTGATTGGCACATATCCGCTCTGGCACTCGCAGGTTCCGGATTGTTTACTATTCCAATCAACAATTTTGAACCCAAAATATCAACCACAGAGAACTTACTTCAAAGAACAAGACTCGCTTAGCCAAATATTACTCCCCAGCCCAAAACCGGTGGCGATCTGCCCCTGGTCTACCTAGGTAGGATCATGAGTACATTTTGGAACAGGTACCAATGGGTCTCTGATCCAACCCATTGAGTCTGCTGAGGATTTAGCATTTCCCCATGAAACTGCCATCTTGTTGTACCCGAAGTCGTTTGGATGTGTTTTATCCGGAAGATCCGCGGCTTGAACGGCAGAAAACAAATCAGCAATTACGATATGTTGCCCTTTTTGGATTCGAGTTGACATAAGTGCTGCGACAGCTGTATTGAACGGTGGAACAAGCCCTGCCGTCGCAATTCGCCCGGAAGGAATTATCCGCGCAACTATGATAGTAGCATCCGGGCAGGCCGTTAATAGCTTTTCAACAAGAGCATCCACACGAAGAGGAGCGGATTCTAGATTCAACCCTTGGTTTATATCGTTTGTGCCTGCATGAACCAAAATGACATTTGGCCGTTCTCTATAAGCACTAGTAAAAGCAGCAATCTCATCAATTACTGCTCCACTATGTCCTTCATGAGAGTTGTCTTGCATTGTTCCAGCTCGCAAAGACCCAATCATATTAATAGTGTTGTTAACTTTGAGTAGGTTCAATAAATCTTGTCGGTACCCGTTGCCATCGTTGCTTCCCCTCCCATAAGTAATTGAGTCTTCGAGAGGTGTCAGCCATGGTTTTTGGCTGAAGGGGCACAGTATACTATACCTCCTAATGGGAGCACTCTAAGCTTCTTGCCTATCACCAGATTCTTTGTGTGGGAATTCCCAGCTACTCGTTTGCCAGGTTGATCATATTGGCTGGGCTTTGCCAAAGCAACCATAGGACAAGTCCACACCACGAAGCTGAATAGGGCCATGAATAGGAACTTCATATTGATGAAGAGACGACTAAATTAATGAAATGTGTTCTATGATAAAAACAATGAACGGATGGTTGAGGCAACCCTGGGAGTAATTTTCAATATATACATGATAGCCATGCGTGGTAATATCACAAATCCTTCGCTGGTGCTCCTCACTGCCTACGGAGTGCTACCAGAAGCGCAACCGAAATTTCAGTAGTTCCTCAGACTGAGGAGCTCAACCAATCACAACATGGGTATCGTGATATTCGCGTGATGCACAGCCGCTTGTCCTCGTCAGTTGTAGACGCAGGCTTACTGAATCATTATTCAAGGCTCCCCCAGCCCTTTACGGGAGTATGCTCTAGCAATTGACTCGAGCAGAACACTTCTCTATCTTGACTAAAATTATTTCACGATGTTTGAAGGATAATGGTAATTACTCCAGAGGACTCGAATAATTAATTTTTTTAATGTCGCATTTTTTCTTGGTTGTTGCGATAATTGTGGAAATTCTAAGTCCTTGCACCATCTGGTGGTAAGACTAAGACTCTCACTGTATCTAGATCTGCCTTTTGTTTCACCACGAATCCTTAGGCTCCCCCAACTGCGACCAATGCGCACTTCCATTGGATGGTCCACCTTTTGTCTCAGCCATGAAAGAGTGAGGATTCGAGTACGGTGATGGAGGATGTCTTAGCCGCTGGTTCTAAATATAGAAATATTATGGGGCTTATCTTGAGATGTTCGTGAGATACTACGTAACCACTCACTGCAGGTACAATGAAGTTTCTTATGGTATTTTCAGTATCGATTTCTTGGACTTGAATTTCTAGCATAGGTTTATTCTGCCTACCACTCCTTATTTCCTATCTAAACGCTTTTTACCAAATATAACAAGGTTTATCTTCCAAACTTCTCTCGTTGTATCATAGCCTGGGCATTTCACAATACGATTACAATACTTCTACATGGTAGCAATGATCAATTCGAATCCGAACAACCTCAATACAATCCTTCTACACCACAAGGCTGGGTGTTTTGCCTGATTTACGTTTTTGAATGTCTTTTGATTGCGTTGCTTCAGCTACCTACTGGAATAAATACCATCAGTTTTCAGCCTTATAAACATACGCGGGAGAATTAGTCTGTGGAACAAATAAAGACCCAAATAACTGCCAGCGCATTACACGTCATATTACACCCTCACCTGACTGTGACCACACCGATCTAGAAGAGTCGTGTAATTGTAGTCTGGGGCCGAACCGAGTAACTAAGTTTACTATAAACTGCACTTTATTACTTTCCAATTTATCCACTTGTTTGAAAGACAAGAACATGGAAGTTCCAGTTGTACTTGCGGTTCCATAATATCACGTGACAAGCTCGCCAAAAGAAAGGGGGCGTTGACCACAGCTGGAACTTCTCACCTACTTTGCAAAGTCAAGACAGTCTGAGAGTTAGAGGGTGTTAATAGGAATAGAATGATGTCTTATTAAGGCAGTAATAGTATTCGGGAAAAGATTCTCCTTCGTTATACTATAGTAAGAAGTACTCAAGTTATGAAAACCCTTTAGTAAGTGAAGACTGCCTATTAAGATGCTCTGCAAAGCAAAGAAGTAAAAAGTAAAGATTCTAGAATAAAACTGCAGTTCTATTAGTCTAAAGGAGTGGATGTATTAGAGTACTTAGGAGGTCCGAGGTGAATCAATGATCTATGTGATCCTTTTGGTTAGAGGAGTCGGGTGAAATGCAAAGCAAGAATACCATTAAAAGTCAGCGTTTTATGAACAATTTAACAAGTCTGATTGGGTCAACGACCCGTTTCTCTAAACTAATTCCATTGTTGGCCTCTAACCTGAGCAAGATAGGTATCAGGTGTCAGTCACGTGCTGAATTCTCATTTAAAAAGGTTGGCCTCTTTGAAGAAGCATGGACAACCTCGATTTTGTTCAGACTTCCATTTCCATTGCATGATTACTAGATTTCTTTTGGGTATTTGTTACTTAATGCATAGTCACATTGTCACAATTCTCAATTGGCTTAGGGTTATCGGCTGCCTGCAACACAAGGATGAGGCAATGAGGTGGGGGCGATGTAGGTAATCTCACTTCTGCAACCTCAAATCTTTTTCCACGGACCCTAATCTATCAACCATTTGTTGACTGGACCCAGAAACATGCTAGTTGGGTACTACACGTGCTGGTCGATATATTCCGTTCCTAGTCTTCGAAAACTTGAGTTGACCTTGCTTCAGGCTCCAGCAACATGTACAATTCCAGGTCAGCCTTAGGCACGCGCAGCAACAACGATCTGTGGGCTCGAGCTATCGAAAGAATTAGTCCTCAAGATAGAAACAGCGTCAACTTCAGTTATGACCAGCTGACGATCTTGACTAATATGAAATTTGAGGTGGAGGCAACTCAGCAAAAATGCAAAGATAATCGATGGCATTTGAGACGCAAGAACGGGGAAAAGATAATTCTCAGAGATGTGTTTGCAAAAGTCGTTAAATGGATTGACATATTTAAACAAGTTGGAGACACTGTTGTCCAATACGACCCTGGTCACGCTGCACTTCCTTGGGCTCTCGTTCGATTCATCCTGCAGGTCTGGCCGTTCAATCCTTTTTGTTCATGGTGTCTGACCATAACTTAGGCAACAGTCAACGATGTTGAGAAGTACGAATTTGTAACCGAGAACATTGAGTTTGTTTCAAAATGTATATGTCGCTGCAAAATCACCGAAGAACTCTATCTTGGTGGGGATGCCACTGCTACCAGGCAGCTTGAAACTAGCTTAGTAAAGCTCTACGGCGCTATTCTGATCTTTTTATCCACTTTCAAGAGGTATTTCGACCAGAAGGAATCAGTTCAGTCACAAGTTACTGTGTAAATCGTCTCAACGCTCATCTCGTTTGTTACTATAGGTCGCTTTGTTTCAAGCATCATTCGGGACAAGAAAGTGTTTGAAGGCCTTGTAAATGACATAAGGGAGGATTTCGACGACGTTCATGAATTTGCAGCACTGGTGCGCAGAGAAGGTTGGTCGCACCGAATCCAAACGAATATGATGGCATCATTGTCTAACGTGCGCAGATGAATGCTCAAGATATCATGATCTAAAGCGGATCATCCAAGAGTTCAACAATCCATTGGAAAGGATTTCCACTCAATTACAGATTGTGCAAGACAATCTAGAAGGTACTATCCCCAACGTATGTATCCCAAAAATGCTGATGAAGTTCTCCAGCGTCGAAAAGAAAAGAAATGTTGAATTGGATGTCTGATACTGAGAAAGTCCCTTACTTGAAACATCACAAGGAAAGTAAGCGAGAGGTACTGGCAGGTACAGGAAATTGGCTTCTTCAAGAGGCCATTTTCAAAAGGTGGAAAGATGATAGCGCCTCTAGCTTACTATGGCTACACGGGATACCTGGTTCTGGGAAGAGTAAACTAAGGTAAGTACTTAAAGGTGTATTCTCGTGCTTTGATTAATCCCCGAAATAGATGATTAGTAATCGAAGAAGCCATGAAAACCGCTTCAAAAGGCCTCATGCCCCGGCCAATATACTTCTACTGCTCTCGAAACCCAGCAGAGCCCCTCCGGTCCGACTCAAATGCAATCCTCGGTAGTGTAACTCGGCAGCTCTCAAGTCTCAATGCAACCTCGGATCTATTTCCTCCCGCCGTGGAAAAATACAAAGAGGAAGAATCCCCAGGTGGTACATCCAGCTCTCTCGATGTTGGGGATAGCTGTGACTTGATATCCCAGCTTTTAGACCTGTACCCTACAGCAGTTATCATCATTGATGCTTTAGATGAATGCACTGGCCAGGCTTGACTCGATCTCCTTGAGTTTGTTAGAAATACTCTCAATAATTCTTCTTGTGAGTTCTTCCATTATCTTCACTCCAAAACGGTGATTATGAAGCATGCATGGGCCAAAACACGTTGTCACCATCCATCTATTCGTTGTTGTTCCTTACTTTTCCACGCCAAATTATCAGTCAAAGTGCATTGAGAAACTTGCTCCAGTCGTCCCGGGACGTTCAGCCTGCGTTTTTTGTTATTCTGAAGTATTAGAATGAATTAAAACACGAATTAAATAGTGTGGTTTAGAGTTCCATTTCCTGGCTTTTTTTCTGCCCGCTGCAAATTGAGCAAGAAACATGTTCTCATGTTTGGAAGTTGCTTCCGAAAAAAGATCTAACAAGGTTATCTAGGCCTCGTAAAATTCTTCATTTCCAGTCGGAGGACGAGGAGATTGTCCATCAATTGAACGCCTTCCCAAATGTCGACATCTCTTCCACAAAGAATCAAGCAGACATCTAGTCGTTCGTTGAAAGTGAAACAAGAAAGCTGGTTAAACAGGGTGCCCTGCTCAGAAGTATCCAGCAAAAAGAGGGCCTCGAAGCCGACATCATCAAGCAAATTTCAGAAGATGCGGCAGGGATGTAAGTATAAATCCCCAGGTAAATATCTCAATTACTAAAGTGCCCCAGGCTTCGTTTGGCGAGTATGCAGCTTCAATACTGGAACACCTTGAAAACCGAGGAGCATATTCGCTCCCAACTCCGAAGAGTACCGCCCAGTTTAGAAATGCTCTACAAGGAGATCTACGATAAGATTTCTGCGAACCAAGGCAACAATTCTCAGAGAGTAGCGAGGAACACAGTTTGTTTGTTACTACACCTAAAGGAGAATCTCTTGCCCGCAGAGTTCATCAAGCTGGTTCAAGAATCATCTGCACATCTCAATACCAACGCCATCCTTGATATATGTTGTAATCTTGTGGTTTTGGATAAGACATTAAATGTTTTTCGCTTCGCTCACCTCAGCGCTCGGGAGTTCTTTGAAAAGCTGCCTGATCTTTGGGAACATAAGTCTCACTCGATTGTCGCAGCAATCACGATGAAACACATCGATATAGCGAAGAGAAGCGAGTGGCTTAAGAAATATACCAAAGAGCCAACCAACACCATTGGCGATTACATTGCTTTTTGGCTAGTATATCATTTCCACTTAGCGGGGCGCATTGAACAACCGGATTCTTCGTTTTTGAAAGAAGCGATTGCTTTAGCATCTCGGCAAGATCTTTCGGAATTTCGAGCTGACGAGCAAGTCTTGTTCTTGAAGCGGGCCGATTGCAGGCCCCGGGTACCTAACAACACCAACGAAAATCTACGGCTTCTCTTCAATGCATGTGCTATCGGATTTTCTGAGATTCTCGAAGCATTCATTATCAACATCAAAAATTTGGAAGATCGCTCACCGGATTTTCAATTGTCCGAAAATCAGTCGTGGATCTTCAGCGAAGGCACAAAGATCCTGAAAGAGGTTTCGAATGATTTTAATTTGGTACATTTCAAGGAGGCCCTGACGAAAGACAATTTGATTCAACTCGCCTTTCATTCCATTTCTCACGGAAACTATCCTGTGCTGAAACTTTTATTAACGAAAAGATTGTGTCATGTGACTGAGGGGATGCTTTTGCAGGCCGTGAATGTATATGACACCCGAAAGACTTCTGGCTCAGATTAGAGAGAGCCAGCAGTAATGGTAGATCTTCTTTTAAGGTCATTGAATGAATCCACGTGTTGTTTTATCTGCTAACAGCTCTAAAGTTTCGCGGTCAGGGAGAGGATGCCGGGGTGAGTAAAATCACACCCTTTGCAAATTTCCATCGCTAATAATTATTAGGCTTCTGACACACGAGCACACCTTTTCTCTTGAGAGGGAACTGTTTTTAGATCATAAGATCTATGCCAATAAAATTCAGTCCAACTTGAAAGACCTCGTGACACCACCGGTCATACAGAGAGCTATAACGAACCTGCGTATCGACAAAGGTCGTGGCATCGTACACCCTGTCATAACTGTCATTGCTAAATGGGGTAGGAGAGTTATTTTGACGCAGAGCCTTCTGGATGCTATTGGGCAATTAAGCCCGAATTCAACTGAAGCGCTAGGTCTTCTCCTCAAGTCACACGATGAACTTATTGTTCCATTCCAGAATTTGGCACCTATGGCAAGTGGTACCACATTCGCGTGGAACCATATCAAAAGCCTGTTTTCGAAGTGTCCTGCAAATCACATTTCTCAAGAAAGCTTCCGACTCATTGTACAAAAAGACATAAATGTCGAGTTTGTAAAGCAGATGATGAAGCGAAACAGAGAACTAGTTGTTGACCAACAAATTCTACTTTCTGCCGCGGAAGCTAGTCAGGTTACCAAAATTGCGAAGCTGATGCCACACTCTGGTGAACCTTGGAGGGGAAATGAACGGATTTTCACACAAGACTTACTAGTTGCTGCCACTGCTATGAGTGAGGATGAAGATGATATTTGGACAATCTTACAGTCCAGCCCACAGCTCGCAACATCAGAACAAGTCATAATAGCGGTGGTCTCGGATGAAAGAATAAATAGTATAGACGAAAGTCGGCGGACCGTATCCAGGTCCCTCAGAAGTTTAAAAGCTATGCAGAGTGTTGGAGGGTCCCAGTTCAAGATCACAGAAAATGTACTCTAGGCAGCTGCAAGAGATCCGGGAGCTAAGTTGGATGTTATACAGTGGATAGTGGATCATTTGACGTACTGTTCTGACTCATTGGTGGAGAAGATCATAATCAAAACGATCAAAAAGATTATGGGCCAAGGGGGCGACAGCCGCGAAAACATTGCCCTTTTTCAATCTATGCTTCAAAAGTCAAATTATAGACCCTCACAAATGGTTGCTGCCGCCTGTCTTGCGAAAAGTGGCCGGGGCCAAACAAATGCAGCCACCTTTTTGGGCTGGTTCTTGTTTGCTTCTAGTAACATGAAGGAAGATGAAGCCAAACTCAAGCTGACGGGACTTGTTGAACAAAACTATTGGCGCGCGATTTGGTATACTTATCGAGAACTTGAAATCGAGAAGAGAAAAAAAGCATAGTTGTCTCTGAACTGTCGTCTCCGACCCTCCATGTTCTAGTATGCTGTACTGAAGTATTTTGGATAAATATTTATCTCCCACCGCCCCACCAAGCCATGGGCTATCTTTCTGCTCATCTTTAATTTAGACGTATTATCAGCACTCTGTAGAAAATTACTAGTTGAAAGTCTATCACAAGAACCTCTTAGTGATCTGAAACATTTACCGACGAGTGTCCAACTTGATTTGTAAACGAGATGCATAACCGTGAGAAACAACAGTTCTATATTGATCGCTGGTTATGTATAGCAACTGTCAAATACTTATCTGCTTATATTATCTTCTCCCATTAAATCTATCTCTTCAACAACAATGTAGAGTAGAATGGGGTGTAGGTAGAAACAGTAGATATCTACTACCATAACTCAGCATTCCCCACCAATCACTAGAATTTATGGCAGGATTTATAGTGAATGAGGATGAAGGCTTAGTAAGCTACTTGGATAGTAGGATATATCCTACCCCACTACTGCCACATACCTTCAACACCACTAATATAATATCTACTATATCGGTAGCTACACTTTTGCTTAGTAAGCTCTTTTGTACTCGTTTATTTTATGTATTTTTTATTTAGTCCTCGATACAATGCCTATAATTCTTTAATTTAACAAGTATAATATAAAGGTATAAGGATAGTGGTAGTACTAGAACAAACGCTCTATTCACTCCTTTTTAAGCTCGATCCTCGACTACCGACGCGCTCTACGAACTAGCATCGGTATAGTAGATGTAGGTCGGATTAGCTATTTACTAGGTAAGGAGATAGAGAGACTAGGTTCGCTAGCCAAGGAGGGCTCTCTAGGTATAGTTTTAGCCTAAAAAAGGTTTTCTTACGCTTATTATACAAATATAAGAGGAGTAGATATTTATAAAGTAGGCGCTAGATATAACGTGCATGTATAGCGAACCGGCCAAACAAGCGAACCGGCCAAAATTTTCTACACTCGCGATTGAAATTGTAAGAACTCTACCACAACGCCTCTAATTAAAAAACACTAATCAGAAATTTCTTCCTCAGATACTTCCTCTATAATATTACAGGTGCGCGTATTATGACCAGTCTCTCCGCAGTTG